TTTATCTAAGTCGTTTAATTACCCGTCAAAGTACAGTACAGTGTCTAGTCACTACAACTCAGCATTTGTATCCACCGTTTCCCAACCTTGTAAGCAACAAGCATTGTAAGAGTTTCTTTCTCACAGTGGATCCTATGACTCTAAGGTGGATATGCTCAAGTCTACACAATTCGAGCTGAGTCAATGCAAAATGGGACATTCGATTGTCTAAGTGAAGCCCGATCGAGCTTCACAGGGCCTTAGACGGGACCGCGAGCAATGCAACCATCAAGCCCAGGCTAGAGAGGGCTTGGGACACACGGTCCAGCTGAGAGCAAGGCACGCTTCTAATGGAGAGGCTCTAGGATACGGGCTAAGTGATCTAGATGTGGCTAAGAGGGATCCAAGGCCATATAATCTCACACAAGAACCATATCTGCCAGCCAGCCATGCCTTGACTTTCTTTAAGTTGTCTCCCTGGGCGAGGGGATACATGCACCTTTCCATCTCGTGAGCCTTGATCCACTCTTCAAGGCTGGTGTCCTATGCTAGTATCTTTGCCCGAGAGCGTTTCTAGTTGAACTCTATCAATGGCAATATGTTGCCACCATCTGACGGTGTGTCAGGCACGTGCTGGTCCCGCGCAACTTCCTGCACAATTCACACCCCCCGGTCCGGCATTGGCATTCCCCATGAAGCCCTCCAATCAGAAAAGTATCATCCCATAGCATGCACGGCGTACTTCTTATCACCCTCAGCTCCCCTCATGGCTCGTCTACAACTGCTTCCTCATATCTCAAGGGGCTGATATGTTCCTTTCACATCAAAATTTCGCATCACCCTAGTCCGCCCCTTGCCTGGGATCATACGATCGATTGCATGCATGCAGAATGCATGGCAAGTTAGTTCCAACAGCCCACCTCTGACCCTGACGTTGCTAGAGGGAGGTAGACCTATAACCGACCCCCCACCTTCACGAGCCAATTTTGAATAGCCACCCACAACTGGTCAGCCTCCCCCATCTTCTTCAACTCATGTTCTTGTGCATGAAATTGTCCATGGCCTCTGCAATGGTCGGGAAAATGTGTTCTTGTGTTGGAGGAGCTAAAGGGAGGCATCCCAATGCTTTCTACTCTACAAAAAAACTTTGCAACTCGTTATCTTCTATGTGAGCCACCTCCATGCTCATATGATTCATATATAGTTTATGGTTTTCAGAAAATCATGGTTTAAGACGCTCTATGCAATACGTAACTCCGCACAACCTGCATCTATTCACTTACGATTTCATGGGGTGACCAAAGCACTGGCATGTTCGACTCCTACTTCAGGCAGGACTCTTTGGCGTCCCGTGCACTCAAATTCCATGCACTCTCCAGCCATTTGTGTGCCATGGCTTCAAAATTCGCCATGAAGCCTTCCTTCATGGTGTCAGAGAAACCCTCCAATGATACATTCTCCTTAAACAGTTTTGCAGTTGCCTTACAACATCGTGAAGCTCCAAGCGCCACTTTTGCCATGTATTCCTCCACTTGTGATGCAAGTTGCTCAACATCCTCCTGGAGATGCAAGGCACGCTGATCCAGCTGCTGCTGTATCTATGCCATCCATCCATTGGAGCTTGAGCTCGTCATGACAATAGGTTTCTTAGATTTCTCAAGTTAGAGCATGCCTTCAAGTACTCTTTGTGCTTCCCCACGAACACCAAACATCTCATAGTGTAATCACCAATGAGTGGGAAACTTCACTCAACCATCTTATCTACTCCCCCCTTTTTCCATCGGTTTCCTTGGGCCACCATGTGCCTCGCCACACCAACCCCTATCTTGGCCAATATGTCACTAAATTACCCAACCCTAATGTCTGTGTACTATTAGTGAGATGCTAAGTCATCTCCATATATCCCTCATCCCTAATGAGTCATCACTGTGTTAATGACTGGCTAGTAATTATCAAAGTGGTACTTGTCTCACTTCACTTGTTTAGGGTGTTATCTCTTGGCATACGGGATATGACTCAGATTTGCCCGCCAACCCCCAATCCGCTCGCTATCTTCCCACACCCTGTCTCTGCTGCCCCTTTAGGCCAACCCCAAGAAAGTCACATTCTGCCAACTCGTCCAATGCCACCAAGCCCACCCGAGCAAAGTTGTCGGCTAAAACCTCCTCCACGGCCCCACCGCCTCACTTTCCACGCACGTCCCTCCATGATTAATGCCGGGCCCAAACACTTGCCCCACTCAACAACGTAGAGTTTTTTGGGGTGGTGCTTCTTGTCACTAATCTCTCTACCACAAAATTGCTCGGGCAGAATGAGATAACTCTGCCTCCTGACTAAATCCCCCTTGTCGGTTTTTAGCAATCTCCTTGGGTGTGGCAATGACACTGCAAGCCACCATGCTAGCAATGGAGGCACTTGGTCAGTTCGACACCCCCCTCCCCACGAGCGACGAGGTGTATTGCCAATCCGCATCCATGCATGCCCCTCCATAGCAGAATGGTGGCACTTCGGACCCTCTACAACCCTGTTGGGTCACTTTCCTTGTGGGCTTCTGGAATCGAGATTGCGGCCTCTGCCGATAGGAGCCCTGCGTGGCCCATCTGTCATGGGTGGTCAATGCAGATGGATGGTTGCATTCCGTCCCGATAGATCGATGCAGAAATGCTCTGCCAGCAGTGTTGTGGCCTTGGAATTGGTTGGAGTGCACTCGCACAACTTCCTTGCTCGTGCAGGTCTGTGTGGAGGGGGTGGCGCGGATTCACTGTACTCCATGCAGTCAGATGGGTCCTGAGTCATATGGTGGTGACATGGGTGTGTCGATTCGTGGCATTTCCATATGCACATCGGGTGCAATCGATGGTATGACTGCAGTTTGTCATTGTGCAACTCCTGAAGCTTCCTTGGTCCATCATTGACGTCCCTATGTATCTTGGCTTGGTTTCCATAAGATTTTGTGAGTTCGATCTTCGATGGTCCTTTCCCCGCCTGTCATACGGGGCGCCTTCTCACCACGTTCACTAACCCAACGATTGTGTACTTTGAGTCTGATTACTATTTTGCAAAGTGATGTCCAGATTAAGTACATTGCGCTCGTGCCAGGAAATAGTGCATGCGGCATATGCCATGCATGTGCATACTTTGATGCCTATCCCAGCCTTGTCCACCAATTGCATTGGGAAGTGCAGGCGTTTTGTAGCTGTTGGGTGTTTATTGGCACAAGAGCGCATGGACTGTTACATGGCGTCAACTATGAACCATAGATCCATGTGATTCTGGCCAGATAATTGTATGAATCTGTCTGAGACTGTGGCCCAAAATGTACTTTTCGCTTGTTCCCACTTTTGCTATATTTCGAACAACATCAAGTTCATTTATTTTAAATCTACCAGATCTAATACAATAAGCTCGGAATCCGATTTGGAGCGCTCCGGAAATGAATGTCTTAGAGTGCGAGTCAGCATTCTCAAGTAAGAATCGATCCCTATGACATAGGGTTATGTGAGTGGCGGGGCTCTCCGTCGGGTGCTATGGAGATGCCTCCCCAGTGGGGAGATGGCTGTTCTCGAAGGCGGCCAAGGGGAGGCACGTGGCTATCGGTATCGCGGCTGTGGCGCGCCGTGCTTGCTTGCATTTGCGGTACACCTTCCCGGCATCGTCGCTGTGGCAATGAAGACCATCGCTGGCACCGATCGCCATATTGGCGATGGCCTGCGCCCAAGTGCTCGGCCTGGCGTTACTGTCCCCGTGAGGACTCCCGCTTGGCCACAAAACGACTCGAGAGCATTGCAGCACTCCGTTGTGGCAGCCATTGGCATGGCGATTGTGGCACCGGCTGCAATCAGCGCCCCCCTCAGGGCCAAGCATTCGGGGGCCCTGGGCCCTGCAGTGAATTTGTGGAAATCGGAGAGTGGGTGCGTGGCTCCTGCTCAGACGCGGGGATGTGCTTGAGCGCGACGTGCATATCCATTTGGGGGGCGAGGGGGGGGAGGGGGGGGGGGCGTGGACCTCCGCCACCGCGTCCACAGCGCGCGGTGTGTGACAATCACGTGTCATGAGTGTCGAATGTGCTCTTGGGTTGATTAAGGCAATGTGGCTGTGCCAATGGCTCATGAATCAAACATGCGGACAAAAAGGGATTCCCCTCAAGGGTTTCCCAGGATCACAGAGGGGCAAGCTCTCACGATGGTGCTGCGCAGCCCTGGCAGCAACGACGGTGGCAAAGAACACGGCAGTGAAAGAGCGTGCTGAGCGGATAGTCGTGGAATGAAGAACATCAACAGTGCAACCTGGCCAATGAGTGGGCTTTCAATGGACAAAGTAGAAACGAAAAAGAGCAGAACGTCGGGCCGCAGGCCCGACTTCCAGACTGGTATCGTAATAGTGTGCAACAGCTTTGGAGCCTGCAAAAATAGGTTGAAGTACTTACGTGCTTCGAGGTAGCAGTGCGAGCCAACTCGCACAATTGTACCATTGCCAAGGTCAACGTTCCTGGATCTGGAGGCACGTCAGCGGTGGACTGAGAAAACAGACGAGTCCTCAAACGAAGAGACTGCATGGATAGAGGGCAGGGACATGTTCGAGTGGCACAAGCCGGCATATGGCAGCAATCCCAGTAACGAAGCATCACCGTCAGCAACTTTGCCGGGTGTGGTTGTCCAAATGCTATCCGTATTGCAACGTAGAATGCCGACAGCGCAGATTGTACATAGAACTGGAGAGTGCAACAGACATTTCTAGCATCAAACAAGCACACAACTGCTGGGGACACACTGCTGAAGTGCATCTTTCCCTAGTTCAGAAAAAGGCAGCAGGCTCGTCAATGCCCAAGTTGCCAGCACAACCCCGAATCAGATGAAACACCCACAGCACAAATACATCCCAACAGGAACAATTTGTTCACATATCTGTGAAAACTATGCACTCCTCACATGCCAGAAGATTCAGTGCATACAACTCTCCAATCTTAGCGCTCTGTTAGGTTCCAGGAAATGCAACGTCTTGGGGTACCCCGATAGCACCCATCAGCACATCGCCAATAATGAGACAAGAGCCACAACAAACGCAAAGCAAGCCACCAACCACTGCCGTGGCGACAACATTCCTGCACCTCCAGGAACATCTGGAGAAACTGGCTTATCCTCAGGAGTAACCTGAAGAACAAACAATACTGTAAGCAGTCTATTATACAGGGCTGCTATGGCTTTGGCAACAAACAGCACGAGCCACAGGCCACAGGCTGCAGTTCGCAGGCTGCAGGCCACACGCATTTCCTAGGTTTCGACAAGCCGCCCCCTCATGACTGCAAGATTGATGCTCAACTGCACTCTCCCCTGCTGTGGGGCACCAAGGTCTCAATGAAAAGACAGAACATGACTGCCACACAGGCAAATGGGGCAAACATCAGCCAGGCAAGCTATGAACTTGCAACCGATTGACTATGTGGACCATGGCATACTGCTGGTGGGTTCAGCGCGTATCACATCGCTGAACAATAACAATTCGGGAGTGATCACAATGAAATGGCTGCACAGAGTTATGGTAGCTAATACTATGACGGGTAAAAATCACAGGCAACGATCTTAGAGTTGGCTGGAAAACAGGATGCATAGCATACGTACAGTGCTGTGCACAATTGTGGCCAATAGCTAGGCAACGATCTTAGAGTTGGCTGGAAAACAGGATGCATAGCATACGTACAGTGCTGTGCACAATTGTGGCCAATAGCTTGTTTGCACACAAGCTTGGACCTGTTTGAATCAGGAACTCTGTCATTGTCATCGCCCTCACTCAAAGCCAATGCTGCACACAATGTGTGTGCTTCTGATGTCACACCTTATCCGAATACTCAGGAATCCAATCTGTTCAACTGCACAGGTGCAAGCCAAACCACTGCACCTTGCAATGCAACCAGTGCCAACTCCAGAAGGCAAATCATACAAATCATCCTTTCAGGCAACTGGACAAAAGCAACGCCCAACCCACCAATATGCACCTTGGGTACACAATACAGCAAGAAACAATGCTCTAAGACAAGAAGCAAAACTTGATATTGGTCGCAAAAAGAACTACATGCAGAAATTTGAGCAATCATGTGCTGTATATTTTTGCTTAAAACCTAAATGTTAGTTCTTCCAAAGACCCAGCTTATTTAGCTTCCCACTCCACTGTCGCTGGAGCAGCACAGTGGTGAATGTTGGTGTACTGTAGATGGCCTTGGGTGCAGAACAGACTAAATCTACTGCACGCCTAGTTATGTCCTGCTTCAAACTGCATAAGCAAGGGAGTGACTGTGCATTTGCCAGTGGTGCCTAAATCTGCAAAAGGAAGAAAGTGGGACACCTACCTGTGGCTCCTGGTCTGCGGGAACAGGCGAAGGCACAAACGCCGTTGGTGGGCGAATTGTCACATTCTCACCATTCAGCAACGCTTTGATTGTATCATTGGTTATCTGATCACATGGGGTTGCACATCTTTGTGATGGTATGCAGCCACAGAGGGCATCTACTGCCAGTTGTGGCGGGCGTCCGTTGTCAGGTATGCTGGCATTTGCCCCTGCAACCATTAGCGCCTGCACAGCAGGTGTGTTTCCAGCCCAAGAGGCGTACTCCAATGGCGTATCCCCCATGTTGTCCTGGGCATCAATTTCGGCGCCGTTTTCAACGAGGAGATTGATCACCCTTGTACCATTCAAGGTCAAAACCGCACGATGCAGAGCCGTTGCCATGGCCTGCGACCTGGCTGTTGTGTTGGCCCCAGCTTCCAGCAGCAACCCCACTGACCCCTCATGGCCCATGTCTGATGCCACAATCAGTGGCGTCCAGCCCTGGAAGTTCATAAGCTCCACCTCGATGCCATCCCTTTGCAGTAAAAACGCCAAGGTGCTGGTTGCGTCTGACTGTGCTGCAAAAAAGAGTGGGGTGGACATCTTGGAGCCCTGCTTGTTCAAGTCTGCCCCACTTTCCAGGAGAACCCTGACCACCATGGTGTGGTTCCTCTGGGAAGCCCAGTGCAGCGAAGTGAGTTCATCAATGTCAGTGCTATTGACATCTGCCCCTGCGTCTATGAGTGCCTCCACAATCTCCAAGTGACCCCTGAATGCTGCCAGCATCAGGGGGGTGGAGTCGCGCGCAGTTGTCACGTCTGGATCTACCCCTTTGTCAAGCAGCATCTCCACTTTCTCAAAGTCGCCATCTGTGGCAGCCATGATCAGGGCCTGCACCAAGGCGTGCGCACACAGGTATTGTCACCAAGGCCTGAAAACTGTGCAACAGGGTCATGTTTGGTGTGGTTTTGATTACAAATTTTCTTCCACACATATCCGCAGAGCATTCAGCAAGGGACCCACACACATGGACACAGGCCAAATACTGATGTGAGGTGGAGACTGCATTCATTTGCACTGCTTTGTGTAGTCATTGCGTCATTGTGGAAACTAGCGCTTAACATTGCCACAGTCGTGTGCACAAGACACTGGACATAACAACACCGCCTTGTTCAACAATAACACGCCAATACAATTCTAAAGTCCCTGCACACTGGATGGCACAGCCAGCTACAAACCACCTCAACCAAAAGGGGTTGCACTGTGCTCACTTGTTCATCCTTTGAATTTGGAAAAATATCCAAGAATTTCAAGTCCCGCAGGTGTACATCTGGAACGTGCTCTTCTGTATCTGCAAACCATGCAAGACAATCAGACAATCAATCCAGCAAAACGCAAACCCCATTTTGAACTGCCTAATAGCCTCAGGCTTGGCTGGAGGGTGTTGATACAGGGTGCAGGTGGTCTATCGTTCTGTGGCAGTATTGCCTTCCTGTCAAGTGTACACAGCACTTTGACTCCCAAAAAGGAGTGAATCTGCAACTGAGATAGAAAGAAGAGTTTTTCAGTTGTGGACAGCCATTCAGGTGTGCGAGTGCCACAAAACTTCTCAGCCCTTGCTGCTGGTGTTATTAGAAATTCGGGGGCTTTAGTGCACACTTTCCAACAAAATAATCTGATAGCATAAGCCAAGCATCGTGTTGCAGGACATGTGGGAGTACCGATTCCCACAAGCGGGGCCCAATGCACACAGCAGTTGCTGTTCATGTTGCCATATTCTGTGGAATGGACGAGGCACAGCCTTTCAGGGGCGGGCTTCAAACCGTACTCCCCATCTGGAGGATCGAGGTAGCAAGGAAAACACAAGGGCCCCAATAGGTTCGCATTGTCGCATTTGAAAGTGCGGCCACCATACCTGTCGTGGTGGCCAATTTGCGAATTGGCGGCAGTGTACCATCCTCGTTGAGATAAAACCAGCAAGGCACAAAAACCGTGGACAGCCTACCAATCGGGTCACGCGGGTACGCCTGCATTGTACAGCCAACTTGCTTTCGCAGCGCCGAGGCGAACAACTTTGCGAAGCGAAATCGCCACGGACGGAGAGCAGACACGCGGCCGAAAGAGCTTCTGCCCAGGGCCTCTGGCCCATGTTTGATATCAGTTATGCTTGCCCTTGGCCCCCCAACGGTTTCGGGATATATCGGCGCAGTATCCATACACGACAATTCTTTAAAGGTGAGCTTCCCGTCCAGCAAGCCGCTGGGCAACGGCTGTCCGCGGGGGCTGATTGGCACATGTCCCAGCCGCTCAGGCGACAGGGCAATACTATTAGGAAGTCAACATCATACAGTGGCCCGCAGGCACGTAAACTCTTAAACCTGACCCATTTCCCCACCACATGAGCCCAGCCCAACGCTATCACGGCGGGCCTATCATGGTCCCAGCCAGCAACCGCCGACAAGGCTCACAGACGGTGGGCCGCTGCTTCCCCTTTTCCCGCAACACAAAGCCACGACGAGCCCAGATGCAAGAGAATACAGTCCAACCTAGAATATGCCACGCGGACCGGGATAGGGCTGCGGGGGCAGCACCCCGGAAAGTGATTGAAGGCCACTTCTCTGTTTCGGTCCCAGAAGGGCGCGGTGCCGCGTGCTCTCAGGGGTCGCACATTATCCCCCAGACGACCCAGACGCAGTCTGCCTTCTGTCCCGTGGCGCGATAGCCGTTGCGCAGGCCCCCAGCCAGGGCCGCTGGGTGGTCTCACTCTTGTCAGCACCGCTCACCTTGAGAGCCGACCCTCGCTGACAGTGCACCGCCCCAGCAAAGTTCCACCACGAGGACCACCAGCAGCACCGCAAGGCGCAACAGACGCGCCATGCCGCGGGCCGCGGCTGGACTGCGTTGCCGTGACAGTTCGCGGGCGGGCGCACGCCGACCGGGGTGCTTGGTTGTTCACCTTGCTCTCCGCGGTTCGCAGGGAGTTTCCACACCACTACCGCCCCAGCCAACGGATCCCGCCTTACAGAAGACACCAGTACCCCAAAGTCACACACAAACTGGGTAGCTGGAATGCATCGGGAAATGAATGTTTGTGTATCGGTCTCAGGGTCGGCTTGGAGCCTCCAAGTTGGAGGTACTACACTTCTGCGGGTTGTGGGTCAGGAACGAAAGGGTTTGCGAGTGCCTGGACGAATTAGCGGACACATGGGTGTGCATGGGGAGTAGATTGACTGAACGCTGAGATTTAGGATGGTGTTTGATTGGAGCACAAATTTTGAGACACAATAGCTATATTCAAACAACTGCAAACAAAGAAATTAGCATGCACAAGTGATCGAAATAATCCAAAAATGATTCAAGCCCCCTTGAATGGCAACTGATGGACTGTTGAAATTTCAGCCCGGTATGGCCGCCATTGAGTGAGTGTTTGCGTTGCCATACTTTGACTGCCGTTTCACAGGTTGGATCAAATATGTTTCATGGCTTGCTAATGCTCTGCATTCCAAGCAATGATTCATTGTATGGGATATGACCCGAGCAGACTGCCAATGCAAAGTTATTAAAAATTGTTAAACTTGCTGTCAGTCATGGTGCCATGTCACCCAATGACTGGCTCATGACCAGCACACAGCGGCTGACTTGCTGCCACCACACTTTAGACCAGTCAGCTTTGATATGGACAGCCCCACAGCGTTAATGTGGGTCCCCGAGATGGGAGATAAGGAAATTCGTTGATGAACCTGTGCGGTGATAATATGAAAAGTCGTTGATGGTTGTGCACAAAAATGACGTAATTGGCTAGGTTTTGGCATGTTCAGGAATATTTATTTCATGGCAAAAATGACGATAACCTCAATTGAGATTCTGCACGGTGCTACATAATTGGTACTCACCCATGTTAATTTTAGACATAATTTGGCAGCATGGTTCAAGGGAATGAGGCAGGGCCCTTTCACTTGTGAGTGTGAATTAGTATTGCTTCACAGTTGCATTTTCCAATAGTAGATACACTGTATTTTTTTTGGGTAGTCATTTGTACTTCATCATCGTAATGAAGTCGTATAGCTGAATATTCTCCAACAATAATTCAGTCTTTGGGGAGAGGGATGGGAGTATTTGAGAAGGGCTGTGCGCCCATTTGGTCGCGGCACAGGCCCTGGCCGTTGGACACAGAACCGATTGACCTTGGGAGCTTGTACCAAAGCCGTTGACCGCCCAACTGAGTGCGTGATTTGTGTTGCCGACACCCAAGACCGTCCAGGTCGTTGCGCACTGTGCACTCGACTTTCGGTATGCGTCAAGGGTCGTGTTCTCGTGCGAAAGGCCACGCCCTACACAGAAATCTGTGTGAATGGTGGCGGCGCTTCGATCGAGTGCAAGGTTTTGCTGCGAGGCGACGACCGTTCTGCGGCTCTAGTGGTCTCTTGGAGACGCTGTGGCCCCCAAGGGACCTTGTCCAACATCGTCGAGGCGTCTTGCTGTGGATTGGAGGCCGGGAAACCCAAGCTATTGGCAGTGCTGTCTGTCTCCAGTGCAGCGACCTCAGCGTCAACGTTGTCGACGTTTTGATGATCATTTGACGAGTCAAGGAGGGTAACGGTGAGGTGCGCGACTTGCAAACATGTGCTGGAGACCAAATAGCTATGGTCAAGCTCTGAGAGGCCAAGAAATGTGACAGGGAAATATCGAAAGGAGCGGCGAAATGTTTAGAACGAGCCGAGCTGCATTGAAGGTGAAGCAAGGTCAAGTGGCTATAGACTTGAGTCAACGGGCATCAAGTCACTGTGCTGAAAAGTCCTCAGGGATTAGCAGAAAAAGGAAAAATCCAGAAGTTCAAGGGTAGGAAGAAACATCTGAAGCCCTGGAGGTGACTGTGTATCCAGGCGACATTTTAGTTGCTCTTGGTGCTGTGCATGAGTCACCCAATCAAACGGGAGAGTGGTTTGGTTGTTTTGGAATGTGACGGGGTTGTGGCAATTTTGGAAGGCTGTAGGCTGTGTGTGCAAATCTTCTTTTGCTCGCCCCTGGAATTTCTGTTCAGAGTGCTCGTTTGATGCAAAGAGTAGTTGTAGCAGCACAACAGAAACTGGCGTATTTGATACAAAGGAGTAGCCTTGCTTTGGCAAGGGAAGTTGCTGCCTTGAAGGGGCGCCTCATTTTTTTGTGAGAGGCTGAACGCGCATGAAGGGAACATGCAAGAAGGGGTAAGGTTCTGCTGGTGCATTGCCTGTAACTTCCTTTGACCTTGGGGCCAATCTGTGGTACAATTCAGTGCCAAGTCGTGTGCGCTCTATTGGCTGGGATCTTTGCTCGTTGTTTCTTGTCTCTGAGAGCCCTCAGCCTTGGACTCTAGATTGGCTCTCTCATTTGAACAGGGAGAGGACATATTTTACCGTAATTCAGCCACTGCCTGGTTAGCAGTCGCACGTAATATCATGCAACAAAATATTCATAAATTTCTTTGATATAATCCTGAAGTAGTTGAAGTTATTTTGGTACATGGGATGCCTTTTTTATTACACTCATGTTTGTCTGGTATACTGTAAGCTGCTACGAAAGTACGCCGGGCAATTCAGAAATAAGTACCTTGGTCAGGTTGGGCTTATCCACAAGGAACTTTGTAGGGAAGTTGTGGACACATTTTCCTCATAAATTTGCAATATAATACTATCAAAGTAACTTCGATCAGCATTTTAGACACTGTGGTTTGGACACATTTCTAAATCTTACAAATGGATGTACCAACGATCTGAGAAAGCAATAATGCAGTATCTATGTGGTGGATGGGAGTTGAAAGTCCGGAATTTTATCTCCCTCTCACTTGACCTCACCCATCTGTTCCTGGTAATGGTGGAGGGCCCATATTCTAGTAGCCCATAACCCGAAGTGGTTTCTGAGTGCAAGTGGCGTGCGTGGCATGTTTCGTGCGTTGGCTGTATTTGAAAAATTATTGACATACGAAAAAACCATTGCATGGGCGTTTGTGAACGATGAGGATCCTAGGGACACAGCGCAGGCAGATCGATGGTCGTGAGAAGAAAGAGAAAGCTAGTCGTGTTTTGTGCCACTTTCGCGACTTGCCGTCGTCGGCATGGAAACTTGTATCCGAACTTGGTGCCGGTCATCAAACTCGTCACCTTCTAAAGAAGAATCTCGTCATCTCTTCATCTTCCATAGATAGATATATATATTAGCGATTTTGCAGCAATTAGCAAATGGCAGAAGGGCATACGACAGCCAGAAGAATTGCTCCAAAGAGCAATGCGCCTTTTCTAAAGGGGCAGCGAGGAAAAGGGAAGCTGGGAATGGCGATGTGAGTTTGCGCGTGGGGAATTGCGATTGACGTCTTGGGGAAGGGGGAAGAGGGTGGGGGAGGGAAACGAGAAAGGAAGAGGTGGGCTGAGCTTGGGGTCTGTTGGACGCTAAGTGAACGCAAGTGGAATTATTGTCTTCCCCAACGCTGTAATCCTTCGGCATTTGCCTGAGTTACTGTGTTCCTGTTCTTTTCTCGTTTGCCCTCTCATTTAGAGGGTCCATGGGGTCGGGACCTCTGGGGCGGTAGATTGAGGCGATCAGCCATGGGTGGTGGCTGGCGCCATGCAAAAGGGCGCAGCGCGACCCCTTTTGGGCAATAGTTGACCATACCCTCTTGTCGGTGCTCTGTCGGTCCTCTGTGTCGGTGCTCGCTGTGTTTGCGTGGGACGCAGCTCGGACGTCATGTCGCTTCATCAACACGCCAATTAAATCGCATACAACGTGGGACAGAACAGCGGACGTGTTGCTTGTCTATGCTGAACAATGACGTTCCGAGACAAGCGAGATTGGTGTGATGGGCGCAAAGAGAGTCAGTTGCTGAGGCTTGCGAACAGAAACCAGTTAAGTAGGCAGAGTTGGTTTGGTGGGGAAACATTCAGGAACGGGGTTGGGGAGACACGATCAAGCCAACGCCGTTTCGTACTTTTCAAAAGCGCAGAGCAAAAGTGTCAAACGCGCACTGGTCGGGCATGGGTCGGCCACTGCACAGCCACCACAAAACAGGTGGATTGAGGGGTGTCATGGAAATGGCACAGGCCGGTGGCCACCAGCTCCGTGAATGGACTGGAGAAGATATTCGAACTGAACGCTGACAGACCCAATTGGAAAGCAAGAACAATCTGTACTGCAAAGGAATGGTGAGCCTGGCGCATGTAGCACATGCCCAAGACATGGACACAGCCCCACGCCAAAGCAAGTGACCCCCCGGTGTGGGTGCAGTGCAAAGAGTGAATACATACGGCCCAACAGGACGTCACTGGTGCGTCTCAGGCAAGAATCAGGAATCCTCAGGCGTTTCAGCAGCTTTGCTTGTCAACTCGCACATATGTCATCCACCAAGTCTGGGAATGTGGGATTGCACATGTCGTCAGGATTTAATTTACCCGTTTCAAAGCGGGCTTGAAATCGCACATTCGTATGTTGGCTCCGGCAATATGACGAGTTTCCCAGGCAAATCCTGAGCAAGGAATCTTTGAGCGCTGAAAGGGTCGGCGATTCCCAAACTGCCAGAGACTGCCCACCAAAACATGTCGTTGAGCGTGGTAACACAGTTTGGACAATACACGATAGAGCAGCAGAGTGTGGAGGCATCCTGTGCTTGCACCACATCAGCCCTGCAGTCGGCGCATTGTTCTTGGTTTGCACTTCGACACAGCCATTGCCATAGAACTAGGACAAGGAACAAGAAGCATAGCCCCTGTTGTAGGCACAGGTGCGCCCGTTTCAACAGTTATGGTGGTGACCAAATAGCAAATTGTATTTGTTACTTGCTCACCTGGAGCTACACTCACCCAACGGCAATACAGGGAAAAACTTGCTGTGCAAATTGCATGTCCTGTTGTCTTTCTGTGTCAAATAGCTGTCTGGCCCACAAGCCCAAATGCAGAAGTGTCACAACTTGTGTGTTGCGCTCATGTTGGCAAGGCCCACACTCTGCGCCAATACGCTCAGAGTTCAATCCCAGGACTTTGCCCTCCTCACGTTCTCAACAGATCTTTCTTTTTTCTCTTTCCCTCTGCTTCGACCCCACAATGATGTGGCCGCATACATTCCGACGTTCGCCAATGTGCCGCTGCAGTCGGAAATCACACAAAGAAAATGAGCATGCCCCCTACTCTGTCAATTTCTTGGTCTCTTGGCATTTTGCTGTGCATAATCAGACTCCCCGTGCTGCACAGAATGTTTGTCCCCCGCATGCTGTCCATACCCCTGTTGCCCTGCATACATGTCCTGAGAATAGCCATAGCCCGTCTGCCCACCGTACCCATACGAAGACCCACCATAGCCACTCTGGGATGCCTGATATCCAGACCCATATCCACCATACCCTGAACCGTAAGCCCCTGAGCCATAGGAGCTTCCCTGATAGGGCGTCTGTGACTGATATTGGGTGGAAGAACCATAGCCCTGCCCCCCATAACCCTGTCCATAGCCAGAAACTCCATACTGATGTCCATACCCACTTCCGGCTTGATACCCATGGCTACCGTACCCGTATCCCTGCCCCGAGCCATAAGAGCCCCTGCCGCTGCCCCCGCTGCCAGCGCCCCTGCCATGGTGCTGTCTGTTGCCGCCAGAGTGGTGCTGATGCGACTGGTATCCCCTGCCTGAGCCCTGGTAGTACCCCTGAGCGTGTGATCCCTGGCTATACTGTCCGTACTGCTGGTACTGATCGTAGTAACCCCATGGGGAGCCACCTGCCTGCTGCATGTAGTAGGGCGCCATGCCATAGCTGTACTGTGGTGTGAGTGGCTGGCTCCAAGTGGTCCTGCCACCGCGGCCCCGGCCCGGGCCTCTGCCCAGCCTCTGATAGTAATCCCCACCCCTCATGGGTTGGTTGTAAAACCTCCTGCCCCGTCCGGAGCGGCCAGAGTAATCCCAATCATGGAAGTCCCTGCCACGGCCCCTCCTGCCAGGCCCTCCGCGGTCTGTTCTGTATTTGTCCGTCAGGAACTTGGCTGGGTTGACAAGTGACACCAGGATGTACCCAAGGTCAGGATGTGATGTGCCATTCAAGGCATACATCGCCTTCTCGGCATTCTCCCCAGAGGTGAATTCCACAAAACCACACCCAGGTCCAGATCCAACACCCAGCTTGATATTGGTGTACACCACCTGGCCATGTTGCTCAAACACCCTCCGCAGCAATCCTTGGTTCATGAAGCCAGCAGGCAAATTGGCGACATAACAGATTCTTGAGAAGATGGAGGGCAAGCTATGGTTGTAGGCCCATTCCGACCGCAGGCGCTTCCTTGGAGTCCATTCCTGCCCATGCCGTTGGGTCCCATCTGCTGAGCTGTCCCCCTTTGCTCTCTGTGCTGTCTCTGACGCTCGAACCTCAACAGCATCTTTGGCCTTCAAAGCCTGGCTGGGCAGGCTGTACTCAACGAAGGCGTAGTCCTTACTACCTCCATCTTTGTTCCTGACAATGAAGCATCTCTCCAGGGTTCCGTACTTTTGCATCTCCTCCCGAAAAGCATCGTCACTCTCACCCCACTCCTCTCGAAGGTTGCCCACAAAGAATGTAGTTTTCAGCAATGGCACTTCATATGCAAGGCTGCTATCCCCGATCTTGAGCGACCTCGCATCCAGCTGGCGGACATGGAAGTGTGAAACTGCCTTCACGTCCATTTCAGGGCCTGCCGCATCTTCCTCCTTCGTAGGTTCAGGTTTGCCCCCTTTTGCATCTTTCTGTGGTTTTCCCTCTTTGTCATCTGCTTTGGCGACCTGAGCATCGTCAGGACCATCTGCAGCATTGGATCCCATAGATCCTACGACAGCAACTTCCTTTTCCTCCTTCACCTCCTCCTCTCCCTCCCCTGCCTTGGCCTCAGCATGATCCTCAGTCTTGTCCTCGTCCATGGCCTCGGCTTCCTCCCCAGGTTTCACCTCATCTCCGCCCTCCTGGCCGAGCCACGGCAGCGGAGGCGGCACCAGCCTGACCAGCGCCGCCTGCGAATCTGGTAGCCTCACTTCGTCGTTGAACACCACACTCTTCACCTTCAGGCCTCCCTCCGCTTCCAACACCCGCTGCAGCTCTTCCAGGGTGCAGGACTTGGGCACGTTGTTCACCTGAATCATGGGCAATGGCAGCCACTCCGCAGGGATGGCCATGCCCTTCCACTCCTGCACCACGGACGCCGGTGTATTGCCGGCTCCAGCCGGCACCTCCCCTGCCTTCTCGCCACCACCGGTGGCTGTGGCCGCTACCGGCTCGCTGGCAGGAGCCCCAGACCCTCGGCCCGTCAGATCGTTGGTGCCCCCCTCCAGGTCGTCGTCCGGGGCCAACGCCTCCAGGTCCAGCCCGTCAGTGGCGCCTTCTCCGCCATTCCCCAACGCCTCCTCCGCCGCGCCATTGTTGCCGTCCCCCTCAGACTCGCCGTCGGACAGCGCCAAGTAGTCTCCGTCAGCCTGTGCGTCCTCTTCGTCTCCAACCCCAGTCGCCGGGCCGGCGTCGCCGCCTGCCTGCCCTTCCGCCGGGTCCTTCCCCCCCGCGCTGTCGCGCGACTCAGGCAGCGCGTCGCCAGCACCATCCGAGCCGCCTGCATGGGGCCCCTCGCCAGCCGAACACCCCGTTCCCCGCTCCCCGCTGCTCGCAGGCTCTCCCCCGTTCGCTTCCTCGTCCTCCTCGGCGCCCGCCGGCGCACCCGCCTGCGCGGATCCCTTCCCGTGACCCTTTCCGTTGACGGGCAGCTCGGCTGCACTGTCGCCCGCCGCGGACTCCCCGGCGGCGACTCGATCGCCAGCGCCACTTACCGCGGCATTTTTGGCCGACTCCTGGTCGATCGCGCCCTGGACCCGCTTGATAAGGTCGGCCTTCACGCCGCTGGAGGTCAGGCCCCTCGACTTCAGCTCCGCCTTGAGCTCCACCACGGTCCACTGCACCAGCGGCTTGGTGGACAGCATGGCGGCGCGGCCGGGGGCGTTGGCGGCCGGGCGTGTGGCTGCGTTATGGCCAAGGCAGCGGGCGCCCCGCCAGCAACGGGGCAAGCTGGCAGATCGGCGCAGGTGGCTGCGGGCGACGAAGTCTGGGAACGAGAAACAAACCGTGTGGCGGGCAGCGGATGATGGCATTTGGGGGATGATGTTACGGTCCAATCGGGCGCCCGGGGTACACGCCCAAGTACAAGGCCGTTGCCCAGCGCACGCAGGCGCGCCTGCCCCACCCCCGGGCCCCATCTCAGTTCCTGCCTTCCCGCGCGACTCCCCCAAACCTGCTGGTTCAGGGCAGAGCCCATTGCCGGAGGCACACGCGGCGCTGCGCTCCCTAATGTGGCTGAGCCTGTGAGCAGAGGCAGAGATGCAACCACTGCGCAGAAGCTCGTCCTTGTTGCCGCTGGGGACATGGGTCTCCCGCAAGTACATTTTGAGGCGAGGTGAGTGGGAGGATTCCGATCTCTGTGGGTGGACTCCCGGAATTGGTCTTGGGAGTTGTTCGGTCGCCTCTGGTCTCCATTCTCTGAGCTGGAAGCAAGAGAATTGTTCTCATGCGTCCTGATGTTGTTTCGTTGTTCGGGCAGCGGTGTGGGCCATGACAAGGATGATAATGCCGGCGTGGAGACAGAATTGGCACTTTGCGTTGCCACTGCAGACCTGAAGTCAGTGAGCGCAATCTTTGCAGGATTGCTGCCGCTGCTGCTGCTGCTGCTACAGCTGTGTGACTGCTTGGTGTTCCTCTTAACATAATTGTGTTCCTGACAGCTGTTTGATTGTCTGCCAGACCTTGACCGAACTTGAAACCCAGGTGCCTGTTCTGTTTCGTTGCCTTGCAACATACCAGTGTGCTGCAACCCTCCTGAGGTCAAAAGCAGTGGACATACCACAAACCCCCCTGACACTAAACATCGCGTGGACGCCTTCCTGTAGGGCCACAATTATCAAGGGCTCTGGCCTGTGCCTCGATGCCACTAGGGGCCGCAATGGGTGTCTTACCGCACATGGAACTCTTCTGGTCTTCGAGCCCATCGGTGAGAATTTTGCTGTGGCAGCATCCAAAGCTCATTCCACTGGAAGGAGTGCAGTGTTCAACACTGGGGGGGCAAGGAGAAATGATGTAGCAGCAGCCAGTGCCAGAACCATGGCAGTATTGCAGGTCGTGCAGGGAGTTCTGTGGTAAAATCATCAATGATGCAGGACTATGAGAGGGAAAAGAACGTGTCAGAAATTTGTGGTTCAACTGTACTTGGCATCTTGCCAGCAACAGCTCCTTTGTCAGTCAACAGCTTGGTTTAATGCACTTCCTTTCTCAATCGTGCAGCTGGGCTTTGCAGCCCGACCCCTCAGTACTTCTGAGCAAAGAGCAAAGGAGAATTCTACGAAGTCAGAAGATGCAGAGAACCAGGCAAGAAGGAAACCAAGAATTGTGCAAAATTTATTGTATTGACAACTGTTCTGAGTTTGTGTGCGTGACTCAGAGATCAACTTCTGTTTTGGGTGGCGGGTTGCTTAGCTGCGGGAATTGATTCCCAAGAACCGTTTCGTAATGTTACTCCTAGCTGTCTGCACAAGTTCAGCTTGTTTTTGATTGGTAATCCTGTAAAGACAGATATTTCATTCAGTATTCCTTATCTAAATGACCACATACAAAACTCAAAATTTTCTTCCACATTGCGGACTTTCTCTTCCTAGTTGCTCACATTTTGCTGTACTGTCTAGTGAACCTTGCTTTGTGCAGATTATGTGTGATGCATCGCTGTGGGCACCACCTGTGCTTGCTGATGGTATGGTGCCCCAGTGGATGGGAATGTACTCGCATTGTCCATGGGCCAGCATGCAAACAACGATGCTTGCGTGGGAATATCGGAAACTGGGCTGCTGCTGGCAATAAAATCGTGCAGAGCATACTGTGGTGTGCAGTTTGGTGGATTCATGGAAGCAGCAGCAGCAGCCGCTAATGTAAAATACTGAGAAGCGTTTGTGGTGTGTCGCTGATGAGCAGACTCACAAGTCCTTGATGTACGACAAGGAGGAATACTCAATTGGCAGCGAGATGGCACAAAAACCAATGACTGCTGCTGAGGGCGTGTCATACACAGCAGTAATCCTGGCGGCATTTGCGGTGAGGGAAATAGGCATGAATGTGCCCCATCATACACAGCACAAGGGCATTGGACATATTGACATTGGGCAAATAGTCACAAATGTAACACTTAGGTTGTTGGGAGTTGCTTCATATAGGTTGCCAAACCATGGCACTCAAATATTCCACAGGCAGCCATCAAGTTCCCACAGTGTTTCGTCAATTTGTTGCATTGAAAGTGTTTTGTCTATGCACTTGGGCAGTGCACTGTGTTTAACATGGCAACATGGAATTAAAATATTGGTGGTGCAGTCACAGCTGCACTCCCACTTTAGTCTTATTGTCAACCGGAAAAGCTGCAGAGGGGCTGCAGTGGCACATGGAAGAGGTTGTCAGGTTAATAGGGCTTTTGGTAGCCTTGCTCATCGACATAGTGCGGGGGAAGAATGTTACCATAGTGTGCATTGTGTATGTACATGTTACAAGTTTCTGGCCACCCTGTTGCCTAGCAAAGCAGCCTCGGCAAGAACAAAAGTCAGCAAATAATGCTGACGAGAGAGAACTCCACTTGTGCAGCTGAAGGAAACCAACTTTGACAAATGGCCAACTGCTTCTCATTATCCTGTGAGGAGAGGTTGGACCTGCTGATAGTCTCTATTCCAGAGCTGCTGATTCTGACGTGAGATTCTGGGTATTGGCGTAAGTTTTCTGACTTGCTGTGGGTGACGATGGTCAGGTGTTGGGAGCAATTATTTGGGCATTCATCTCAACATACATCATGGACCCTCTTGAGTACATATGCTTCAATTTGACCCTTGACAAACTCCGGCAGGATCCTCGCATCATTGTGCGGTTGGGCAACACCATAAAAGGTACCCCTCATGGGTTGGATCTGGACGTTTGGGCATGTTACGGGGGAGGATTTTCTGTCCTGCGTGTTGGGGTATCGGCACAGGTGTGCTCCCTGCAGCTGAGATGCTGTTTATCAAATGCTGGCGTTTCTCTTGTCCATTGCTCACACTCTGCTTCACAAAAGCTCGTCTGCAGTGCATGTCTTGCTTGCAGCCCATTCGCGGGACTGGACTCCTGACATTGGCAGTGCCTTGTCACGCATTCCATTGGCAGGTTTTCACTCGCACTGGTTTGTTCACACGGTCAAACTGGTTTCAAATTATTACCACTGACAGCGCGTTGATCTGGATTGACAACATATGCCAAAGCGAGATAAATCTCCGCTTTGTGCCCGTTGGCAATATCGTATGCTTATCGCATCCAAAGAGACTTGTTCCCTAGGTCTTTCCATGCCTGTTCTGCACCGCTGGACGACCATCTCTGCAATTTTCTCCAAAATTGTGGAATTGCTCACGAACGTGCCCACTCACCAGTTGATGGCTTCTTGCAGGCTATGGAGAGGACAGCTCCCACCGCTGGCAGAGGCAAAGAATACCAAACAGGGAGTACACAGATCCAAAGGGGACGCAACACTTGCAGGTGGGCCTTTGTTGACATCATGGCAAGGTGCTTGAATTCAGGAATTCGCCACGTTGCTGTGCTCTTAAAACAGTCAAGAAAGATTGATTATCAAGGGAATAGGTGGGTATCAGCTTCCTACGCTGTCGTGCATATATACATGGCCCATGCAATTCCTAATCGCGCTGCCTCTGCCTGTCCAGCTGCACAATACTTGTCGGCTGCAGTGGCATTGTCTTTGTGCGCCAAAAACCCACACTCGTCGCGTACTGAGTGTTGCTCTGTTGGCGGCATGATCGCAGATCCAGTTTCACATCAAAGGGCACGGTGGAGTGGGTGTGGTCTATGCGGACATGTACAAGGACAACAGCAAGAAATGGCAGTACTCTTACCTCTACGTGGACTTCCCGTCGGGGGGTTCGAGCCAACGGCTGGCGATCGTCAGGCCTCAGATTTAGGCATTTTGTGGGATACTTGGTAGGATGCGTTGCACGGGTTGGTGTTGCAATCTCGTCTGTCGCGTCGCCAATGGTGGACGTGGGTTGCGGAGTCTGCCTGGGTAATGCAGGGTTTATGTACGAATCGGTGCCTTTTACGAATAGCTGTCTCCAACAAGGGAATGCGATTCTCTTGGAACCACCTCTTGATGAGATGTTTTGGCACAATCGAACTAGCTTGCAACGGGACGATGATATTCTTATTGCAAACCAAGTTCGATTGTGGCAATGCGTTGGCATGTTGCAGTGCGATATGCTTCAGCTGACGTTTTTCACATGGCCGAAAACACCGTATGTTTCCCCAAGGGCCAAAGCAAACTCTGCCTTCAAGAGGTCACGAGCACGTGACTTAAGGGTTCTCAGTAAAGAAGCACAGCGAAATACACGCTCCCAAGACGACACTGCCCCCTTGGCGGCCGAGGGGAGATGTCTGCCTTGCGCGCAAGTGCACCCGTTGACTTCTCGCACAAAAAATGTCGGCGCCCACGCCGCGCCCTTTCAATGGCCTTACGAGCTGACCCGTCCAGGCGACACATTGGCAACAACACTGCAGAACGGATGATGGCAGTAATTGGAGCGGTGGCTGCACATTCCTGTTTCATGCCATGTGCTTCATTCGACGTCTTACATTCCCACCGACGTCTGTCAGCATTCAAAGCGCGGAAGTTGTTTTGGCGTTCGATGGGTGTTTGGCCATGCTATAATGAATGTCGTTAAACATACGTTCCGATGTGGTGGCAGCATACAGCAAGCCTTGATGATGTGTAGCGTCCAGAGCACGATGGTGCGATGCTTGGTAATGGACTCGACTAGGGGATCGCATTTGCCGGACGAGGAAATTGGGATATGCCTGTAGCAGGCCATCAGTGAGAATGCAGCACAAGGTTCACTGCTGCGACTTTTGGACTCCAACACACTGTCGTCCCCAGAGTAGCAGATCTTTCTGGACACTTGGAACACCTCACGGATATGCCGTAGGAGTTCTCTCATTAATTAAAAATTATACAACAAAGCATGTGGTAATTGACAAGACCTGGAGCCGCTCATGCGAACTCAGCCTAGAGGCTGGCCCAATAGCAAATACACACTTCAGGGTATACAACACAAAATAGGACGAGATACACGCGTCCTCGCTAAAAGACTCCCCGCACTCACTCCGCCACACACCATGCCGCTTTATTGTTGTGAAGAAATCTGGAGCGTGCTCATTATGGAGAGTTTTCGATGCTCCTGCCCTTTCTACAAGCACACTCCCAACCTGCTTCTACTGAATTCCCAACTCTGGTATCTGACCTCTTCTGTTGTCACAGTCTACAATAGCGACCCAGGCGTTCTGTGCTCCGGCCCTCGGGCGGACCCAAGCACGCGCGATGGCGTGACGAACGAATTGCCCGCAACGGGTTCTCCAGAACGCGTGCTGGCATCGTCGCAACAAACAACAGCACTCATCCAAAACCACTCACTGCAAAGCCCCCCTCCCTTGCCCAAATCCCCCGCCACAAAGCCCTGGCAGCCTCAACACATCAGTAAGGCCGAAATCCGTGTCCCGAACGCATGGCCCTTTGGCCGACGCCACCCTCTGGCTCCTGGGGAATGGAAGTGGCGACTGCCATGCCAGCCAGCGCTCCACCGGACAGGCTGTTACTCCTCCGACTCTCCACACCGAGTGGCACTACTGGAGGCTCCTCAGGAAGTGCCACGTCGATCGCAATCACAGCACCCCTCAGCTTGTGTGCCCCATAGGCCACTACCCTCTGCACAATCAGGTACAGAGTGGGTGTCAGCGCACTGGTGTGACTGCAGTTCATGCTGCATCACTCAACATCCAAGCAACCACATACCACAGGGAAGCATGCACAAAGGGGCACATGACGCAACACGCCTCGTCACATGCCCAGGACATCAGCTGCTCAATGCGCTTACTGCAGAGACGCATGTTGTGCAATGTGGAAATTCGCTCACCAATCCTTTGGGCTGTTCCAACTGACAGCATCCAAGTACAACGTCACTATTTGGCAGCAATGAGCCATGCTTGCACTACCGCTGATCTGGCCATTTGGACGTGCAGTGAGACTTCACCTGCACTGCAGCCTCAGTTTCAAAGGTAACAAATCCGAAGCCCCTGTGCTCTTTCTTGTTGTCCTTGGAACGGGGCATGTACACATCCATAACGTATCCGTACTTCAGAAAATAGTCACGAAGGTCCTGCTCTGTAGTGTCCTTCGACAGCTTGCCAACAAACAGCCTGGGACCACCCCTGTAACGTATGCCAACACGTCCACTTGTCACTTCCCTCGACACCTTCGTGAGCATGGGTTAGCAGACACTGGATGTGGAACTGGAAAGGCTGCCTTCCAAAGAAACTGAAGCACACACATCTGCAATCTTCATGTTGGATATGCTAGCTGTGTTCTGGTCAAATTTGTCAAAACGGGCGTAGCCCTGACCTTGTACCTTATAGGGTAGTGACCAGGACTGCTGAATAATGAAATGGGATGTACAGCATGTTTTGAGACAATAATGCAGCAAGTGCCAATGAAAAAGGCGAATGCATAGTGCCAGAGACAAATCTTTCCAAAGCTTTGGACTTCCCAGTCAGTTCTCATCTCTTTGCACATTATCCCCTGTTCAATATCATGCTGTCGGTGGCTACAGGTCGCCATTCTGTGTACTGCCTTTTGACTGACAACCCTGCCTACCTAGCTGAAGAAACATGAGCGCTGTCCATCCTACGCCCTGGGCTTGGCATCTCCCCGCTCATCACATTCTGCAGCCCGATCAGCGAGTTCGGGCTCAGCTGCAGTGATGACCGGGAGAGCAGGTTGTTGGCGAGGGTGCCGATGCCCATGCTACCTGGCGTCGCCTCCATTGCCCCTGTTGCAAGGTCCCGTAGCCGGTTTGCAACGTCGATCGCCAGGCCTTGGGACAGAGGGTCTATCAGGGCGGGTGGCATCGAGCCCAAGTCCCCCTCCTGCCGCTGGATCCCCATCTGCGGATCTTCGTGGCCAATGCCAGGTGGGAGCACCAACCCACTCGCTGATGTTATGTCACCTGCCGTGACGGACACATCAAAGTGAGTATGCATCCGATACATCTTTCTGCAAAGGACCCTTCATCTAGCACAACCAATGGCCACAGCCACAACTTTCCAGACATCAAACTTTGCAAACCTCAGGTGAAAGATGCCAGACCTTGTTTAGAACTACAAGTCAATATGGCTGCAGTACTGCTGTTGCTCACCTGGGGATTCCTGCATATCCATCACACTCTGCGTGGGGCGCTGCGAAAGCCCCATGTCCTGGTACTGCCGCTGTACTTCCAGGCTCTGCAGCAAATCCATATGGTGGCTGTGTACACCATTCAGGGGACCGCTGCCAAACCCGTTCCCAGGCAGGGTGAGGTCCGAGCGACTCCCTCGCCTCGTCCTCAAGCCACTCATGCGGCCATTGCTGTTGTGTGAAAGCTGACAAGGCAGCTGGCCGCTCAGGGAGTGCTTCGTGCGGGGGGAGGAGCCTACAGAGTCCTTGGGCATGGCCCGATCTACAACAACGTCATGGTCGTCAAGCCTGCACCACCAACGAAGCTGAAGATTCAGGATCACCAGTTTGCCGACCTTGGCACAAAGGCACACTAATTGTGCCCACTCTCTATGCTGCTAAACTTACAGCAACCTTTCTAGACAATGCTTCTGCCTGGATCTCAATGCCATTGCAGTGCTCTTGGGACTAATGCCCCACTGCCATCTTGCACGGATATGCAAGGGCAGCCTACTGGCAAGCGAAGTCTAGCACCCGAAGCTGCTTCAAATGACTGAGAGCATCAAACAACGTGTGGAATCCATGCAGCGCCCTGGGCACACCTGTGTTTGACAGCCATCACGCTCTCAGTGGAGGAAGCTTCCACAAAAGTCACAAAGCCAATGCCGCGGTAGCTCTGACGTGTGTGATCCCTTGGCATGTAGGCGTCCTCCACCATTCCAAACCCCTCAAAATACTCCCTGAATTGATCCTCAGTGACGGTGGGGGGGATGCGTGCCACAAAAATGCGCCTAGTCTTGGGAGGGATCGACTCTCCCTACAACCACAAGGAAGTGGTCAGTGCTTCCAGGACACCAGCTCATGCCAATGAGTATGCACTGAAAACAGGACTGCAACAGCACTGCCATGGTCTGAAGCGGGGGCGTAGTGCTCTGCACCAAGCTTACCATGTCAGGAAAAGAATACTCAAGAAACAGTGCACACAAGTGCAACATACGACAGCCCATTCCTACCGTTGGTATATGGACCCAAGGTGAAAGGCCTATCTGGGAACCCTCCCTAGGTCTTTACCTTTGGCACAGCATTCTTCACATCGCAGCGACGGCCGTTGATAGTGTGTGAGTCCGCAAGGGCTTGCTCAGCGGCCAGCGGCTCACGAAAAGTGACGAAGCCAAATCCTCTGGACTTGCCTGTCAGCTTGTTGTGGATCACCTCGGTAGACTCCACATCTCCATACCTTGAGAAATGGGAGTCAATGGTGCTCTCCCTGCAAGACAGTGTTTCCTGAGACTTAACGAAATGAAGAAAGGGCAAGATGACTCTCTCTGTTCAATAAACGAAGTATTGCACTTGCGTAGGAAGCCAAAGGTTGGGAACACTGTCAGCGGTGTCTTTACAATATAGCCAACCAATATGCAATCGTGTGGGGAAGACCTCAAGGAATATAGGATATTGGAGATAGGTGGATGGTACAGATTTTCGCCAGGGCGCCGCCTGGCTCAAGGCTTTGCGCCAAAGGCCCCATATACGTTGACGTTCATTGTTCTATCCACAAAGCCTGTGGCTATTCACTGTGCTGCAGAACGAGCCCAAATAGCCCAAACAGCACTCACGTTGACTCCCAAGGAAGTCCCAACACAATAAGCTTTTTTCCCCGGGGCTGTGCCATTTTCAGCAGCCTGGGCACGCGCGCAGGGGAGCGCTTCCCTGGGGCCTGTTGTCTACAACAGCTCGTATCCGCCCGTTTAGACCGCCGGGCGGCTATTCGAACGCTGCTCCTCTCACACACTCTCGTCTCGCCTCAGAACCTCCACTCTTTCACGCTCTCTCGCCTGTGCACCACCCATAGCCATCATTCCGTGCCCGTAATGACAGCGGAACTCAAGGACATGGGCCGCAGCCGTGTGCGCTCCACCCGCGCCGACAGTCGTCGACTTCCAACAGTTGCCCTTCCCACGCCCGCCTCCACCCCACTCAGCTCCAATCAACCTGCCTAGGCCCATAATCTCTGCACCCTCGAGTTGAGTATCACATCGCACCCCAGTGTAGATCAGCGGCAGAGCGCGATATGATCGGGTATGAAGCCACAAGTGACTTGCACGAACATGGCGGGCGCGGACAGTCCCGGTAGGGCGCAGGCGCGCGAAGATCATACAACGCGGCGACACAAGTTCGGCTGGTTGGATGCCCGCAATCCAGCGATCCAGCGATCGGGCTTGCGCACCGGCCCACGTGGTACTGCCCGGCAGCCCCTGACGACCGTCGACGACAGACGGCCTTGGCTGCCATCACGGACGCGCGCCGCACGCAAGTCGTCGCGACCTCCGCGCCATGTCCCCCTTTGCCAACGGCGGCGCGCGCCGCGCTTTCAACAAGTCTTCGACGCGCGGCGAAGGCGGGCGGGTTGCGGTCGCCGGGAGGTTGAAGGGGCGCTGAGCGTGCACCCGGGAATATTCGCCGGAAGCCCCACAGAAACCACTCAACCCTTGCCCCGTCCACTTCCGCCCCCACCCCGCGCGAGGGGAGGCCGAAGGGACGGTCGCTGCCGAAGGATGCGCCTCGATTGGGAGGCCAGCCGGTTGCCCGAAAGGGTCCAGGTCACCCGGCCCCATGGGCCCCACGACTCCCCAGCCACCACACAAACGTTCGCCGTCGGCACAACAGTGGCGGCCGGAAGCTCCGCGGCTATCCAAATCAAAATTCTGCGACGGGCATCCTGGACGAATTGCGACCCAGGCGATTTAATGATGCGGGCCCCTGCGGCCGACGACGGGCGTCGGGACCAGCTGCGGGGGTCGACTCTCCGCCACTCTCGAGCCGGCGAGCGAAGTGACAGAGGCGCACGCGGTGCGCGACCGGCCCGCTCTGTCGCTCTGTCGCGCACGCAACGCAAGATCCATGGTCCCCAGCCACTTACGAGTCGCAACTCCCAGTGGAGAGGCCCAGTTCGCCCTGCGACACACCACCATAATCCATCCACTGGGGCTGGGGGACCGGCGCGGTGTGCTGTGTCGCGAGCGACTCACGCCCAAAGCAGCCCAGGGAGCCCATGCTTGGCTGCGTGCCGCGGCGACCAACCCCGCCGTGCTCGTTTCACTCGCCGGGCATATGGCCGTGGGCTGGGCGAATGATGCGGGCAAAGGAACCGGACAAAGGGAATCGGGGGGCGAATGACACCGCCGGGAAGGCGGAAGGGTGCAATGTGAGGGGTTTGATGCGGACAAGGACCGAATGTGTGCCCGCATCTCCGGGCGCAGGACAGGGTGTCAGTACTTTGCGCTGTGCTCCGCGGGAGCACTTTTTCGGCACCTTTTGAATACATTCTCAACCTCTTTTGAGGATGCTTGTGGACGGAAGGCGTTTGGGGTCCGTTTTCTTTCCCGCAACACACAATCCGACGAAGGATACCCACAGCAGCACATTGGGCTCAGTCCTGAATGCGCCAGTGCACCAGCCCTTCCAAGTTGTGACTGCAAGCTTGTTGGAAGCTGGGACTGCCGGGGTGGCAACACGTCAGGGACGACAAGCCCGCCCATTCCGTGCTACATGTAATGCTTGCAGGTCGCTGGCGTGTTGCCCTTGCCAGGGCATTCTTCTTTACTGGCACAGTCCTGGGCCAAGAACAATTGCCTGGCACCATGAAACCGTGGCAGGGCTACGGTGCACATTTTTGAGAAGATTGGGTGTCTGCTCAAAACTGTCGTTCATGGCCCTACTTACATCTGTTCGACGTCCCAACCATGGTGGGAGTAGCCTATGGTTAGGGGATCGTTCTTGTTATGCTTGTTGTGAATTTGACAATAAGCTCAGCCCCCCTTCCTAGCATCAGTCCTTAGGGAAGGTGCTATGTCGATTCTGTTACGCTCTACGTCAATTTGACGCTAAGCTCAGAGACCCCCACACCCCACCCCAAACCCAACCCCACCCTCCTTAGCGTCGTCCGTATGTCGATGCAAGGATGGCTCAGGGACATTACGTGACAGTGATATGCAGCTTCTAGGTGGTTTTGAGAACAAAAAAAGTCAAAGTTGTGCTGATTTCAGTTGGTTGCGAATTGGGGTTCTAAATGGCATTATAGGCGAGGCGGGCAGCCTCAATTGGTGTAGATTATGGTTGGTACCCGGGCTGGCAAAACCGGACCCGGGTACCCGGAGTTTCCGGGTAACCTGGGTACACCCAACACCCGGGTACCCGCGAATAACTGGGTACCCGGGTAAAACCAGTACCCGGGTCCGGGTATGTACCCGGGTACGGAAAGATGCCCCCCTGCGCCGACGCAGCGCTGGCTGGCCGCGCTCCGCCGCGCTTGGCCGGCTGCTGTCTAACGGAGTCCGCGACGACGACGGCGCCCCTCACCTGACGTTGTCTTCTATGAACCGTGCGTTCTTCTGGCACAATCCGGAAAGGGCTGGGCGCTCTTTGGTTAACGATCGCGTTGACGATCCGGAAAGAACAACAACCACAGTAGCGACAACGCAACTATACAGCTTCCAGACGTCAACGACAACAACGCCCAAAAGCAATCATCGATCCATCTTGTTCAAGTTGCTGGGCATGACCTGCGCGCACCAACCGTTTCGCAGTGGAACGGACGACCTGCAATCCCCAAAGGCAGCTCTGGCGCCAGGGCCGCAACACAGCCGGTATCCTAGGGACCAACCCGTCGGAGCCCAGCTGCACTTTCTGCAGACCGCTACTTGCCGCAGGTGTGTAAAGATGTTCCAACCCGTCAGATTCCCCGAATCCGGCTCGCCAGCGCCACGGGATCGACCAAGCAGCACCATGTCGATGTTCCAACCCGTCAGATTCCCCGATTCTGGCTCGCCAGCGCCCCGAGATCTCCAAACGCGCGGCCCGAAGAAGAGTGTGTGGAGAGCATTGGCGCCGTGCACGATCGCAACGCAGCCACACACAGTGTGGACGGGGCGACCTTCGGAGGCCAGTGTGGTGCGAAGCTATGCACCGGGCGACCGCTGGTCAAACGTGCTGTACCCGGGTCCGTACCCGGACCCGGGTACTAGCAGCACCCGGGTAATCCGGGTACCCGCTGGTACCCGCCTGTACCCGGGTGCGTACCCGTACCCGCCTGTACCCTGGTACGTACACGTACCCGCCTACCCGGGTACAAGGGTTGGCTGGTACCCGGGCAGGCGGGTACTGGAAACAATAATACCCGCCCCGGGTACCCGGGTTTCCTGTACCCGGGTACCATCTACAGTGTAGATTGATCCATTTTAAGGCCTTTTCTCAACATCGAACGTTTACAGATGGATTAGGAACAAGTCATGAGTTGTTTCCTGCTGACCTGCGGCGTTTTTAGGTATCTTTCCTCCTTATGTCGATTTTTTTGCAATTACATAATCTCTTAGCGTCACGGGTCTGGAAGACCCCCATAGCGTCAACTTGACGTTAAGCGTAACAAAATCCACATAGTGTCTTTCCTCATGTCGAAACCAGGATGACTCAGTAACATTACCTGGTTGTGTGGCCCAACTTTAATGTGTATTCAACGAAGGAAAACAGCCAAAGGCGCAGCGACCATGCTGGGGTGAAATTAGGATGCGGACAGCCATATGGCTGTCCATGCATGGCAAGCGATGGGGAAGCCCTGGTGGCCGTCAATTGAGGGGTTATGGGGCTTTCTTTGAAGATTGAGGGCTTGAGGAAATGTCGGAACAAGTCCTGAGTTTCATGCTACTTTTCAGCAGCGTTTTGGACATGTTTTGAGCTTGTGTTGATTTTGTGTCAATTACATAATTTCCTAGCGTCACAGGTCGGCCCCCCCTCCACTAGCGTCATTCGAACATTGGGGCAAAATTCTCTCTGCCGGCAAGAAAGCACGCATACAATGCTATCCCAGGGTCCAACACACGGACTACGTACTACACGACCCGTCGCTTTTTGCGGAATCATCAGTAATTTGAGTTTTGGGAAGTTGTAAATTGGTGTTGGGGTTGGGGTACACATACTGCTGGGGAATGCAGCCCCGCAGACAGCTTCCCAACATTTGTTCTGACTTGATGCACTTCCTTCATCACAATAGTGCCCAATGGATGACACAGGTTACCCTCGTCTTGTCCTATTGTCACTTTGCCTGCATACAGAATTCACCTGCAGTCAGACATGCAAGCAGCAAGGCCGTAGGGTCCGTCAAGACACGAGCACAGAGATCGTCGGGCATACGTTTGCTCCATGTGTTTTGGATGGAAGGCCTATTTGGGCGTCACACTTACCAATTAGTTTTGCTAGAGGCCCGCCAGGGAGCTGTGCTCCACAACTTTGGAAGGTATTGGAGGCAGCAACTGCGGAATGTTTACCAGACACTGTTGTGCACTGCCTGCCAATCTTCCCATGCGCATGACTGCTCTGTCTTCTCAGCACAGCAGTGCATTCTACTCAGAAAGCAACCTCCCTCGCTGTCATTCTGGCTCACCAATTGACATCGTACAATCACGAGTTCGCCCACCCCCTGGCTTTTGTAGTTGCAGCTTTCTGCATTAGGATCGAACATTCTGGACCTGCGGAGCACAGTTCTCCTGGTAGGGCACTGCATGTACGCATCTGGACCCAGGTGATGTGGAACATCCCGAGCCAGATGATGCAGAATCCCACTGCGTTTTGCACACTCGTTTGCCAGTCGCGTGCACATTCCCTCCAATTTCAGCAACTACAAAAGGGACAGCTGTGCTGCCAAGTTTCTGGGAACATCAGACAACCCTCAGTTCTGCTGGGCTGTGCCTTCGATGGATCCCCACGGCTAATGAAAGAAACTAGCAGGAGCATCAGCAATAGCTCAGATCCTTCACACTCATGCTTGTTTTGCAATAAAGAGCAACACCAAAGCTGGTCAGCTCAACGGACCTTCTACCCCTCTGACCATGTGAGCAGCCCCTGGCTCAAGCCATTAACATGCCACTTCCATTGATCCTTCCGAATAAAAAACCCGTCAGAGTCAAACTCCACCTCCACTGACGGGGTGAAAACACAAGGCCTAGTGAGGGTACCCGACTGCAGATGGTAATACGACACCTGAGCAGAACAGACAGGGCGAGCTGGGTCATTCTTCAGTGATACTAGATTTTCCAAGCCGTTGCACAGGATAATAGGCCAGGCAATGGTGCGAGCTTGGCCTTGGGTCGTGACCCCGATCAATAAGCAAAGCGGTGCCCCCAGTGTGTCGATTACATTGATGAAGACCAGGGAACGTGGGGAGCCTTCTCTGCCATCAGTGCGGGTGACCCAACGCTGTGGCACCTCTGGCCGTTCCCCTCGAATGCCCTGAAACTGCGAAGCCAAGAACTGCTGGTAGTGCAGCACAACCACAGCCATGCATTTTCTCTCATTGCCCAGCTCTAAAGTATCTGCAGATCCAGCATGGTCAATGCCCCCCTTCCGATATACTGTGCAGTCCACCAGTTCAAAGACACCAGACTGATGGTGCCCCTGCACACAGATGACTGGCCTCCAATCCATGAACAGGAGCTGGCTCCAGTTGAGGGTGTCACAAGCTTGCTTGTATGCGTTGTATCTATCCACCAACTGTGTGGGAATGTAACATGACAGCTCGATGCACTGGCATTTGAAGGATGCCAGCACTTCCGTTGTCTCATACATGGGGTTGGCACAACTCGGGACTGCAGAGAGATCGGCAATCCCTGGCGGCCCAACCCTTGAGACACCCTGCATGACTTGAACCTTCCAAGAGTGTGTGTTGTCAGCCATGCTCTGCATTCTAGCTATGCGATTGAAATGAATAAAGACTACTGAACGGCACATCAATTTCACAAGGCCCTGCCAGCTAAGGCAGGATGCAATTGGCATCGCCGGTGCCACATTCGCACCCTCATCCCCAAACTCACGAACAGCTAGCCGGTGCCACAGGTCGTTGCTACTTGCCATCGCCCTCCATCTTCTGCAAGTGCAGGACGATGAGACAAGGGATTTGACATCCAGATTATCAAAGATGTACATCACCACATCTACTGGGAGGGCTTCATACAATGCTGCCATTTCATGACAACAACCTTTCCTATGAGACACAAGAAGACTGTTTCAATACAGAAGGATTGGTTGTCAGACAATGGGTACGCCCTTCCTGGGGATAACTGCCTTACTCCTATCCATGCTGTGATGAGACTGCAGCAGTCTGGAAGTGTTGCATCCAAATATAGCAGCTTATATAGCAATCTATACAGCAATCTCTCTAAGAGTACACTTAGAGTGACCCAGCATGACTGCAGCACACAGGGGATGATTGTGTTTGTAACAAGGCGGCACTGGCAGTGGGAACTGCTATGCATGCTACAATCGACGTTGCTTGCATCCTGGTGTCACAATGTGACAGACAACAGGTTGCTTTTCGTGGACAATGATGCAAAAATACCCGCTGGACATCAAGTACAAGCAAATGAAGCGTGCAAACACATAAACCAGGACAATTAAAAGCCTTTCATTGAGCCAGTGAACTCAGCAAGTGTTTGAATCTGCAAGGTCGAAAACCGTCAAGACAATTACTTGTGGCAGGGCTGCTGCCACAGAACAGTGAAGAAAGAGATACATAATTGTGTGTACCATAAGGACAGCAAAGAGGCATGGAAAGCTTGGCATATCTGCACTGCTCCCACAATTGTTGTGTGCCTTTGTTAGTGCACGCAACAAATTCAGAAAGAGCTGGCAGTCCTTCACGGTAAATCTCTTCAGAACCCCAGCTTTGTGCACAGAACACAACGAAAGAGCACTGTGTCTGCACAAAGAGGCGGAAGGGGGCCTTGATTCCCAGTACAAGCCTTCACATGACATCACAGCCAGCCTGCAACATAGCAGAGAAAATGAAGTTCCTCTGTGCTGCCGCGGAATTTGCAGAACTGCGCTTGCCTCTAGAATTCTACGTTCTCCAGATTGTCCTGTTACCTCGGTTTCCGTTGGCAGCTAAACATCCACTGCGGCGCGCGCCACACTTCGACAAGCCCACAGCAGTGCTTCAGGAAGCAAAAGCAGGTCGTGATGAGGCCATCGCCTGCCCCCGTGAAGTCCCTCCCTGTCGACTTCTTTCTCGACTGATCAGGTGCCTCAAAAAGCGCGACTTTGGCAACTCCTCAATTTCCCACACGCAGCAGTCAATGGTCGAGTGCGTGAAGCAATGCCGGCACCCCGGCGGCACGACACAATTTCACCAGCGTTGGTCACAGGCGCTGACGTGTAGCCACGTTGCAGGGTGAAGACAACAGTGGAGCCGGCCAACCATATCCCCGCACAGTATGGCCACAACCGCAGCCTGATTCGCGAGACAATGTGTGCTGCTTCTTCCAGAGTCAAGTCCACCCTGGAGTGTCTGGCCTTGTTTCTGGTTTGGGGATTATCCAAATAAAATGTCAGCAGCCCAAATTGGATGCTACTTTTGGTGGTACCGGTAGGCTGAGGCGAAATAGCTTAACACAGAGATCTGAAGAGATCCGTCACGTCAATATGGACACATCGATGCCTCTCGATACGGTGATGCCCACAAGCAGGGGAACAACGAAGCTGTGCCAGTTTTCCAGAATTCGAGAGAACACCCAGGGGGGTGCTCTCGAATGACCAGTATTTATAGGGCTATGAATACTGGTCGCACACCACCGCATGCATCACTCGCAACATTTTGCCCTTGTGGTTGCCACCCTGTTGAAGTCATTGCATTCCCGGAAATATACACGCCTGACAGAACTTCTTTGGCAGACACCAAACCAGCTTGTAAAAGGCCGCAGGAAATAACCCATGTGCCAGGAACATTACAGAAGGGCTGCACACCGATTTTGCTCCTGCCAGGGGCAATTCCCTCATTTACGTGGCACTATGATCCGTTTTCCAGTGCAGAGAGCGTTCCATGGAGCAACGTTTTGCACATGCATTTGAATTGTACAGCAGACGGGCACAAGCACTGCCTGACAGCAAGCCAACGAAGCAGAATCGAATGGCCACAACGGAGTCGTAGCCCAAATTTGTTGCTGCCACTTACAACACGAACTTGAAGATCATGTTTTGACTGGCAGCAACAAATTTGCTGTTGTTGGAAAACAATATGGCCGATCTTCTTGATGGCCACAACATGGTTGTGACAACAACTTCCTGCCATTTGGTGGCTATGTCAACAGACAATGTTCGCTTTGACTGAAGTTTCTAGCATATTCCGCTCAAGGCAAGGCACCAAGTGGCAGTTGTTTGGCTGAAAGAGCCATATTATCATTGTCCCCAACAACGCGATGGGTTATAAAAATTATTTATGTTTCCCTACTACGTGACACATCCACAGCAACAGGCATATGACTGCATATGCTGCACAATGAACACAAGAAACCTCATGTGAGCCTCGATTTCTCCACTGTGGGTTGTCTTTGTGCATGCATGCGCACTGGGAAAACGTTTTGCTCAGGATTTCTCCACAAGTCCAAGAGACCCCAGCAGCAAATTATGTCCCAGGTGCCCTTTGGGCGTTTGTTGCAACGCAAATCACTGATGGTCCCAAGCAACAAGGGCATCCGAGCCCTTGGTTAGTCCGTAATGCACATATCAACAGCAGGCGCACTTGTTCGAACATTCGAATGTGGCAACGAGCAACTTTTTCTGATGCGTTTTGTTACCACAAGGCCAAAATGCGAATGCCTTTTCCAGCAGCAAATGTTGCTGACTTGGCTCTTGTTCCAAAGACATGTACATGCCACGCAGCCTGTCATGAATTAATGGCGTCTCCAAGCTTTACTGCCAATGAGCCCACCCTGCTGCGTGCCAGAAATGTGCGGCTCACATGTTGCGAGCGCAAACCCTGCCTAAATCTAAATTTGGAACAATCCCCGCCCACCATTCAGAATTGGGTGTATCTGTAATAGCCTAATGGCGTGTCTTCACAAAGTGGCAGAACAAGAATCTAACTCGCGAAACACTGCGCTCCCAGGCCTCCACACCTGCCTCATGAAGCTCAACTTCTCAGCAACACTAATATAAAGAGCGTGCTTATTCCTCACCCATAACCCCGTCACAATAACGGCATCGCTCTAGTGCTCTGCACAGCAATGCCAAGTCCATATTGAGGGCTATCTGATGTGGTCCCCTTTTACAGGTCCACACAGCTCGCTGGTTGCTAAACTGATGAAAAGCAAAGCGCAGTCTCCTCGGAAACTACTGTCACACGGCTTTGGCCTTGTGGCTGGAATCCCTTCATGCACCGGTGCGACAGTACATGAATCTAGGCGGTCCATCGGCTTAAATACAAGCAACAGTGTTCATGTGTTAAAGAGACAGGCCTCCATTACCTGTTCAGCGACCCTGTGCCGCCTCATTCGTTTTGCCCACAAAACACCTACTTGCTAACCACCACCTACTACGCAGTTTATCTCTTCTCTGACCAAGCACCTCTATATACAATTCTGTACCGACTAAGCCCTAATTGCCTGTCAGACCAGCTATTCACTTTCCCGATTAGGCCACGCCGGTATGAGCATCCTTCCAAACCATTCAAAGAAATACATCATAGCAACCCTCTTTGACATTTCGCAGCGTGTCACAATCTCCCGCTTGTGATGCTCTGCAGCAGCGTACTCTTTCCACACGGCAAAAGTGTCCTGCTTGAGGGTCTCATCCCTGCGATTCCTGAGGTCCTCAGCTTCCTTTCGGCTGGCGGCAATGTCCTGTGTGAGCAAACAGCTCGCTCATACAACCTGCCTGCAATGCACGAGCGCAGCCAGCAGATAGTGCTCCACAGGTATGAGCAACGACAGCATTCTTCCAAATAGTGACATGTGCTGCAAAGAATGCAAGAGGAAACAAACATGCCTAACAAGAGGGAAGCCACAATAGCTGGCATGCAGTTCTCTTCTCAGCTACTGCACATCCAAGCCACATTGACGCAAATTGAGTTGGAGTGGCGTCGCGCTGGCTCACCTGACATGCAGTCCTCCAACAGTGCAATGCCTGACGCATTATGGCTCGTGATCTTCTGGCCCTCATTTTGGCCACCATCGGCCCTTTTCGTATCTTGCTGTTCGCAAACTTGCGCCACTCATGGAACATGTTGGCCATCAAGGGCTGCTGGTACAGTTTGCTGGCCAACACAAACACCAGCACTGCCTCCACACGCTTCTCAAACTGGACACATCACATGAACGAAGACGTCACTGACTATTACAGTGTCCCAAACAACTGTAATCAATCAACAATACTACCATTTGTAACAATGGCCGCCGCATTCAAATGTGTTTGAATACACCTGTGGGTGCGGCAGTTGGGTGACCTACCGGCTGGCTACTACAATTTCAAGTGGATTGCGAGAACGAGTGGTAAACGTCATATTTTGGATCCATGGGATCACTGACAATTTGTGAGCACACTGGTGTCATATCATTGCGCTTTGCATGCCAATATTACACTGGTACACTAATTTCATTATCCCTAACTGGGCCACCAGGCAAACTCCTTTCTATCCAAAATCATGCAAGAAACAATGTACTCATTCCTCACCAGCGTGCTTCTCAAGCCGTACCAGCGAAACCTACCTGTTTCGATTTGCTCCACTTCGCCAATTTCACATTCTGTGCAGATGATTGCCATATGTGGAAGGCAGTTGCAAGAGACTTGCACTTGCACCTGCCTTCCAGCTCCCTGAGTCCAGTCTGCCTACCCTTGGCATCCTGGAGCAAGGCAACATCAATCCATTGAAAGCCATACCAGGCATCTAACATCTCACATGACAGCCACAAGGGCAGTGACACATCATACTCTGGTAAACAGGAGAAACGACACGCAAATTCCAGGCACATCGCCACAAGAAATGTGGAATAGGCGATACGCAGAATTGACCATATTTGTGCATTTTGCAATTATAGGCAACAACAGCTCAGAGTGTTCATGAACAAAATGCTGTGACACAAGCATTAGTTGTGCAAGACACATAGGTAACCTGTCAATAGGGCAACTGCCAAAGAGGCAACAGCAGCATAGTGCCAGCTTCCCAATCAACTGTAGGGCAGCTGAATCATTGAGAGGTCATCCGCAGGCACACTTGTCCACTTGCACATGGCCCCTTGTGTGGTCCATTCTGCTTCTACTTGGCAGTTTGTACACAAATGCAGGAAGTGGATATTCCATTGTTCCAGATGTGAAGGCACAAGTATCATCAAAGTCCCTATCAGCCAGTTGGGCCCAAGGCAGCCCCATACAATGCACGCCCCTGATAGATACTTCAGGAGTCCCACACACCCACCTGAACCTCCCCTAACCAACCAGTAAAGCCACTTCTCATGACACGTCTGTCACGCCTTGTCATTGCCTGGCCTACCATGTGGGCCATCTGCACTTTGCCCCAGGCGTCGTGCCGCCAGGCACCAAAAGCAAGGCAAACCACCCTTTGTTCATTCCATTGCCGAACCATACTGTTGAAGTCTGAAGTCAGAGCCTGCAGCAGCCAGACAGCAGCTCACGCCCTCCTGTCATACCCATTGCACTTGATATGCCAAGCAGGCCCACTTTGCAGCAGAACGAAACTCAGTTGCATCAACATTGCCTAGAAAGAATGCTGACTCAATTCAGCTGCATAGGTGTGCTGCCAGGAGCAAAACAAAAGTCAAACAGGGCTGGAGGACAGCGCATCAAACAGGGCTGCACAAAGTGTGAGGACACACGCCCAAACAACAGATGGAGAATATAGAACCTGCATCATATGCACAAGTTATGGTCAACACAAACTGCATATCTTAATGTTTCAAATCTAGACTGAGCAATCAGGCAACTTGTGCCAATCTGGTAGGTGTCTGGGCAACTAGAACAGTGTTCTACCATAGAATCTGCCAAGTCCAAAGAATGGATGGCAGCATCCCTCTTGAATACTCATGAGAAGTTGCCAAAAGCAGAGGAAGGAATGTGCACCTCAGTTTCCAATGACAGGTGCAACAAGCACCTTGCAATCGCTGAATCAAACAAATTTGCTGGATACACATGCTTGCTGACATCATCGAACACACTCTGGCTGCTGATAGGAAGCCTACCTTCCATTCCAGAAAGCACTGTGCCAGCCTCTGGCGCCTCAACACCCACATCAGGCACATCATTTTTGCACCCTTCTCTGGTGACATGTGGCCAATTGTCTTCCACACCTTGAATGACTGGCGCAGTCTCATCTCTGACAGCTTGCGTGACACCCTGTTCATGATCCTTTGCCATGGTAGGCGCCGTCTATGATATAGAATCCATGCTGAGAATGTATCAGACACAAGTCGCCTATTTCTGGCCGCATTGTGGCGCTTTACCTGCAGCTGATTGTGCTGCGATCGGGTGGTTCGATCCCTGAAACAGCCATAAGATCAGCAAGGAAATTAACTAAAGTTCATGCACATCAGAGCAAGGAATGAAATCGCCTAATTTAGGCAGATGGGTTGCACTTTTGCCAGTCTTGCCAAATTCGGTCAGTACGCATTTCAACAACTTCATCAAATTTTTGAGAGTTGAGCATAGTGCTAAGAATGCCATTCCAAGGCACAGGTGCTCATCTTCTGTCTGTGGCAGATCCCCCTTCTCCCCCTCATGTTACAGCCTCACCACTAATACCCTCATGTTGCCTTTTTATGTTCCTTGTGCTGCATGGACTTCTGTAACCATTTAAGGTGCCGATCCTCTAATTCATTCAGCTTGAAACTCCAAAATGTCAGCATCTTGGGACACACTTCCTGACAGGAATGCAAGCTGCCAGGAGTCGATGCATCAGTGACGCCATTTCTCTTGATACCAGATGACAACAACAGAAAATTTCACATGCCGACTGTGCATACCAGAGCTAAGTTCAACGACAGGTTTTTCTGCCAAAACTGTGCGCATCATGTGAAACCAATGTTGCATGCAGGCACAGAGCCTAGCCTTTGCTCTTACAGGGAATTTTTCCATCTTGCCCAACACAACATTGTATAGACTGTAAGCTGCATAACGTCTGAACTGTTGCCAGGCATACCTATCCAATCAATATATCAGTGGTTTAGGCCATTGCATTGAGAGAAACGTGTTTGTTGCAGATACCTGCAGCCCCTATGTGATGTGTTCTAAATAGTTGCATTCAGACTCAAAATTTTGTCACACAATGCAATGCCTCCTAGCAAGGGCATGTTGGCCATGATCTGCTGTTCACCACCATAGCAGCCACTCACAGCAGGAGTAAAACCAAAGCAGTGAGCCTCCCCAACAACAACAAACAGTATGCTGGTTGGCTGGCTGTGTGTGTGTGTGTGGTGTGTGTACTTGTCTTAGACGTCACAACGATCAAGATGGCTCGATCGAAACTTAGACATGCTCAAGAACGCCTTTGCACAAACAACCCTCAGTCTCCTATTCTAGCTTGCCTCAATGGCTCTTTGTAAACATACAAAGGGCCTTTAATCAAGGCAATGCGATGCACTTGGAGACCTGGCCCTTCAAGTGCATGACACAATCGTGGGCATCTAATTGGCTCCAGAGAAAGATGGATTACCTCCAAACTGCAAGAACTGTCTCGCTGACACGCCTCTGCTGCTTGTCCGTGAGGCGCTGCATCGCCACATGCCTCCTCCTCTCCTGCTTCTTCTTCTCCTTCTCCATGAGAGCTTGCTCTTCCTTGAGGTTGTTCTCAAGGTTTTCAACACGGCCCACCAGTTGCTCAACCTTCACCAACCAGTACACAACTCACAACAGCACTGGCAGAAATTTTCAGCATTTCTGATTAGACCATCCTGCAGAGAGCTCTTAGCACTCAGTGTGGATGGGTGCTGGGAAGCAGCCACGTGCAATATCGGACCAACTTTGTGGATGTCAAGAGCCCCATTGTCAAGATGCTATTCGTGTACAAAGAGATTTAGATTATGTGAAGAACATAATGTATGTTCAAGGTGGAGTTGGCACCAACTGGTGCCCTGGTGCTTCAGTGCATACTTGATGCAGAATGTATTCTGTACACGATCCCGAATCGCCTATCTCCTGTGCCTGGGTGCAGCTGTGGGCAAGATTGTCCCAAGCGCTAACCAGCACATCCTTTGGCTATAGCCATCATCAGTGTCATTGTGGAAGGCGATGATTCAATGTGCATGGACAACATGTCATCAAAGCAGATTTCAGCCAGACTGCAATTGTTTTGCCCACGGCCTGCCCAATAATGAAAGTGGCAAGCTAGCCAGCTGCTCAATCACTTCCATTATCTTGTTGGCCATTATCCACTTTTTGAGTTTGCCCACATGTGAGGTTCACAGAGCATCTGGCGAAAGCTGCGTGAGCATGCATGAATGACTTCTTGCCATCAACCAACTTTGCCATTAACCAGCTTACAGCAGTGAATTATGTTCAATCCGGTCAAGATTATGATGTTTGGATGTGTGCCTGACCTGTTGGCAACACAGGTTAGCCTTGTGCATGCCACTGCAGAGAGATAACTGCTCTGCCCTGTGGCACAGTGTGGCATTCTTCACTGCATTTTGGCCGATTCTTGCAGGCAACCACCACATGTGTCTCCCTCTGTGCACACAAGGATGTACTGCACAACGGCAGCGGTTGTTGGTGTATGAGAACCCACCCCAGACTCCACCACACCTGTTCCCTTGATGCAGCAAGGCTGTGAGGTTGGCTAGCATAGCCCAGAGGTTGGTACTTCCCCATACGTACAAACTCCACCTCCAGAGAGAACTACAGCCACAAGGAATGGAACCCAGGGTGGGTTTTTGCCCCCAATGGTGCAGCGCACATTAGCAAACAAAACAGGCAGCATCAATGCTCCTTGACCAGTGAAAACAATGGGCAAATGATGCAAAACCCTGCAAGGGGCCTGATCTCAACAACTTCTGTGAAAGTAAATTCCTTCTACATTAAGCTTACAACGCAACAGTCAAGGTTTGCTTGACCATTTCCCTGCTACCTTGACACAACAAAGCAAGCACCAATGGCATGGGAACGAATTCTTACATTCAGGGCTGCTTTTGGGCGGAGAGTGACAGCAAGTCTGTGCCAGTGGCTGTTCAAGTCCCCTCTCACGACCTCCCAGCTCTCAGCTTCACCCATCTGGCCATTGAGGAACAGCAAGCAAATGGCGCTGCCTGCTTCACGGGCCTGGAGCATCCGATCTTGAGCTTTTGGAGCTCTAAAGGCATAGTATCCACCCTGGACAATGAACCACACTGATGGCAGTCAGTTGTTAACCCCAGTGCCTGCTTGTTCATTGCCAACACTGCTGAGAATCGTGCAGGGATTCTCAAAAGCAAAAAGCAGGCAGCTCAAGTTGCGTGCCATTCCTCTCCTGATCTACACTCTACAGAGTCTGTTGCACGATGGGATGTCTGACTGCAAGACTCAGATTTCAGCAGCCACAAAAATGTGAAGCACAGAGAGCAAAAAAAACGTTTACTCAGCGACCCTGCATGAACAGGTGTGCATGTCCCACAAGCACTTGTCAATGCAGTAGTGACACACTTTGGAACAAACAACAACGAAGGGTGCTTGTGCCATGTCAGAGACTGCCACTTCAACACCGCAATCTGCAATGTAGTACCCAACAGCTGGCTTGAACACTGGGCTGATGTAGGGTGGTTGATGCAATTGTACAATTTCATATGGACGCTGCTAAGAACTTACTGAACAGAATTCCGCTGCACACTCAAGGGTGCACAACAGCGGCTCACATGGGAACACAACCACACAAGGGTGCAGCTTGTAATGCAAATTAAGTTCAGGCACATGTTAAGGGGCCAGCGAAATCAAAGCCATACAGAACATCACAGCAGATGGTAACTATGCAAGACCCAAGTTTGACTGGCCCATAATCGCATCAAGAGCTAGTGCAGTGGTATTGTCTGCCATGCTGAATTCTGCACAGCCATCACCATTTCTTTAACACCTGGAAAACCCGCATTTGCTTGTCAATTTACCAATCAATTGTGGACAACAGGGCATGTGCTAATTTGTGGATCAACTTCAATCCCAATCGCAGTTTGAAAGCAAATTCACCTGTACCTGCTTTACCACCTCCAATTCAAAGGATGTTCGATCAAAATGGTTCTCCATCGGCGTTGGCTCAAACACATATTGTGCCTGGCCGTCCAGCTGATCATCAAGGAAATTGCAAATGGCCAGAGCATGACCCTGATCGCCAACAATCAACCAAGGATTCACTCCATCGACCAAGGAAGGAAGATTTGCATACCATGTGCGGCTGAAAGCTGAGTTGGCACGAGCTTTGTCAGGAGAACCTTCAGGACATGCACTGCCAATAGTGATAAACCCAATGCGGTGGCTCATTTCTCAAGGCACCTCAGCAAAGGATGGGCATGCGTATCAGTTCAGCTAAGAGACCACCCACTGTTGCGGGCGATTCTTCTTATCTTATCTTTTATCTTTAGGGACATCAAAATTATCTTCACAGCTGGACAAGAGTTGCAACAGTGCGAACAAAGTATAGTATGCCTGCGAGATTCACAGAAACACCTAGCATTTTACCAGGGCAAAGACTGACAGAGCTGGAAGCAGGCCACACAAGGACAACAGATGTGCAAAAGCTCACGTGCAGGAAGTAAATGCTACGTGAAGCTAATAAGAAATGTGTGGGCCATCACGGCATGGCATTCGCAATGCAATGAGGCCATGAAGTAAGTGGCAGATTCTGGAAGAAGCTGCCAGAAGGACAGGTGAAGATGGTCCTGCCCTGGGCCACACAGAAAGCTGCTCTAGTATACTTGTGCATAGAGACTTTGGTACAGTCCCCTAGAACCCGGTTTAAGCAACATCCTTGCTCAGGACTGGGCTGTTCCGCTAAGAAAAGCTCTTTTCTGTGTGCAGAGAAGAAGGGATTCTGGAAACCTGCCTTGGCCAAGCTCGGTCTGCCAGCGCCCAAACCGAAATCTCAGAGCCATTAGCAAGCATGACCACCCAATGCCACCGTGCTCTCTGTCTTGGCACCAATTGTTCTCCAACGCCCAGAGGCGAATCGGCATCATCCGTCCCATTTCAGGCAGGACAAGGCAATCGCCCTAAGGTGCATTTCCTTCACATTCTGCCGCACGAGGGTGTCCGTCATCCCCCCCTCCCCCCGTCTCTCTCACCTGCCAACACATCTTGATCACGTCGCCAGTCTCCAGTCCGGGCTTGCGTCCCTTGAACGGGAGAAACATTCGCGCGGGAGCTGCAACGCAACAACAGAGAACATAAAACTCGACACTCACGCCCGTTGATCGAGCCACCCGTCCGCATTTGCCTGCGTGCGACCCCCCACGGCGTCTCCCTCCTCCAAACTCGCAAACAGACCCATCCCCAATCACCCCGGTCGGCCTCTGACGCCGTCCACGTCACCGGCGCCAAAGCGCGCCATGAAACCCGATCGACCCCGCCAGCAGCGGCCGCGACTTGCCGCCGGCCTCCACTCACTCTGATAGCCCGCGAAACTCTCATAGACTCGGTGCCAGTCCTTGGACCCTCCCGCAGGACCACCACGGCCGGTGTCCAAGGAGGCCGGGCCCGGTGCGGCCCTGTCGAACCAGGAGTACACATGCTGGTGGCCGGTGGCGTGGCCGCGCTTGCTGCCGGGAGACACGCCCAGCATGGCCGCCGGACGCAGCAGCCTGCGCGCGCAGTGGCCAAGGGGAGCCCAGGGCAAGCGGCAGGGTTGTGACAGAATCCGGAGCCCAGGGGGATATCTGCACACGTTGGCGCAACGCAGGGGCCAAGAGGCCACCGGGGCGTGGTGCTGCAGCCCTTGTGCAGCGCGGGCACGGCAGGGCTGCCCGTCTCACACTGCAGTACCGGACAATGTACGGGTAAGGGGTGGTGACTGCACGAATGACTAATGATGGGTCGGTGGTGCAGGAAGTGAACGTTGTGCCCATCCGCCTGGCGCACGCGCGTTGGTCATGGACATGGTTCCACGGCGGATTTCACATCCAAGACTGCAGACAATGGGCCCCCCAAGTGATGGCAGACCTGACTGAAGTCGAACAACATGTTTTTCGACTTCAGTGGTTGATAATGAAAATATCAAACAAAGGAAAATGGAAGTATGCCCTCGAATGGACAATTAGGAAGACAACACGGAACACATTGAGAGGAGCCTGCGACAGGGACACAACGCAGGCCACAATAGGGGCCATGTCAGGGGAAGGCGTGTATAGGATTCCTGATTCGCTGATTTGTCGATTGATTCATTCATAGGCTGTTTGATTGATATCAATGTATTGCATGACATGAAAATATACTTGTTACGGGGGAGTGTTGGAAGAGACTCTCTTCAAGAGAGAGGTAGGTATTTAGCCGTTGTGTTCTAGATCTGGTCCATCTTCTGCTCCAAGGTGACGATCGGTTTGGCAATGCTGGGCAGAACGCGTGGGATTGGAGGGCATAACAGAAGCGGCCTGCTTCAAGTCATCATCCAACTGTGTTTGTTGCAGCCACACAGGCGTCCTTATATGGCGAAGGCCGATGGGGAGCAGCGTCGATTGGATTATGCATCACTCGATGTACCCATTTGTGTTTGAACCCGAGTTCGTCTCCTGCGCATAGCACTTCAGTATCTTGATGGGTGCTTGCCCACATTGTGCAAAGTGCCACCAAATGACGGGCCACTGGCAAGCGAGAAGAAGGAAACCTGGAAAGACTGCAAATGCGCCAGAATTCTGGCCCGTGTCCTTCTAAGATACATAAGGTCGGCATTTGAGACTCTCTACAAAGGCAAAAACAGCGAAACTGCATTTTCAACCAGCGCAACTGTGGCTAGCGTGCTGCACTGACTGAACCAGAAGCAGGAGCCGGGCCATGTGTGACAGAGCGTCGCGACGAGTGTCAGCGAATTTTTGTCACAATAAGCAGAATTCAGCAATCGACCGCAGTGTGGGAAGCGGTCGCAAGATCGCCGGAAGCCGGCTGTGCTGGATCTTGTCCTGGATCGAGCGTGCCCCACAATTGCTTAATCGCTGATTTCAAACGCGATTTCTGTGTCAAACAAAAAGGTGAGGATGCGCCCTGGCAGCGTAGGGATTCATCCTCGCCACCTACTTCGGGTGGTCGCTTAATGTGACCAGCGTCACATTAAGCGACCATCCCCTGTGGGATATTGGGGGTTTTGCGCCCGAAGCGCACTTCTGGCGCAAAATATGATTCTGAGACCTGCTGTGGTAATGACATTGTGCGCAGCTTGCGCAGAATTCGAGACTTCGGCAATTGTGGATGTGGCCTTCAGGCTGAGCAGGGGTGGCTATGGCCAATGAGCGTTGGATGTTGTTGCAGCAGAGAAGCTGACAGCGAAGCAAAATGTACAGTGACAAATGTTGCTTTTGCCTAACGGGGTGGCCATGCATTGTGGGCTATCCAGGGCAGGACTGTGCTGATGCACTGGCGAAGAGGAAAATGTGAGGATCAGGGTCCCTGAATCAGGGAGGTCAACTATTCAGCTACTTTGCAATATATTCCACCAATGCGCTCAAGCGGTGAATTTCAACACCGACCGTCCCACAACGTGTTGGCAGTTGAACGTTATCAAGAGGTCAGCAGCTGCTGGGAACAGATGGATAAACGGGGGGGGGGCTGGATGCGTTGGCTATAGATCCCGGAACCGAGTGACTTGATGTGGCAACGTGTGGCAACACCAGACGCGGCCACACGAGATGTTGTTTCTGTGAACATTCCTGCACCTTTTAACATGTATTCTAAATGCAACGTGATGTGCTCCATGCTCCATGCACATATGTGCTCCATAGCCGCGCCGACGGCGATTCCGTGCAGCTGTTGCCGTTTGTGTGTGCAGAGACATCGAGAAATCTTCTTCTCCATTTTTTTCTTGTATGGTAAATGAGCAACTTGTATACACAAAGTTTGTTTGTTCGTTACCATGAACTAACAAATTGGGTTTCAAGAAGTTGCAATTTGAATCGGCAAACGAAGGCTCGACAAACTGGACGCTGCCGCGCAGACACCGCCACATTTTTGGGTCATGCCACTCGAACACTAACGAAATATTTTTGTAGATTCCCAATTGCTGATAAACGTGTACTGTGAGTAAGCTTCTTATACGGTGGCAGAGCAAGGGGCGGATGTGTTTGAGGTGGACATGAGTTGATGGGCGTTCAATCAATGTTGCTGTCAAAGACTCCAACTCCGATGGTTAAACATTGGGAGAATGACTGAACAGTACGATTGAGCAGCAGTACCCCGTTAGTGCTTTCGATCCGCATTTGTAGCGAAGCTCTGTGTGTTCAGGCGCCAGTTGTGCCTGGGCACGCACCAACAGCAGCATTGTATAAAATTTGTGCCCTTGATCGACCTATCGCCATTGACCATGCGGCCGAAGAGCCCACCGTGGAGAGCTATTTACAGCCGTTGCGTCACAGTGCCGGTTTCGTACATCGAATTGAGCGCCGCAATGGAGATGTTTTCTTTATTATACCCCTTATAAGCGCCCCGCCAAAGCTGTAATTAGACCATTTCATTGGTGTCAGAAGCACATAGTCCCCTATTCCAGCTTGATTCGTGGCCCTTACGTTGCCACCCGGCCTCATTGTGGCTCGGATAAGGACGGGGACTGTGGAGCTACCTGGCATGGCCGCCAAAGAGGACATGGCTCCGTTTGCGATGTGCTGTTTAGGAAACTCGACCTGAAGCGCATTGAATGACAATGAAGTTCTGAAGCACTCTCCGTTGTGCCCTTGCGCCCCAGACCACAACCCCTGCGACGACGGCGCTGTCGTCGTTTTCAATCTGCAGATCCGTGGATCAACGTTCGTTTGTTGTAATGCTGTCCTCACGGCATCCATGCACATTTGCCTCGAGCGGGCGGATGACCTCGAGTTCCAATACCGATCTTGCCCGACGCCTGCAACACCGTCGGTCTAAGGTACGATCCTTAGTAGTGACAGTACCCATCATTTGGCCCACAGCGTACAACTGCTGTTCAGCTTTATGGATGGAGGGCACGTGAGCGGGGAGCGCGCAAGGAGGGGGACATCCGGCGCAGCGAGCCTCTCGACGGGTAGAGGCCGGCGGCGGCTACGGTGGGCCGGTGGACCCCCTGGGAGCCAAATCCGGGCAGGGGTGGTGGGATTTCTGTCACAGTAGCTGACGCACCATGAGCATGCGAATCCGGGTGGAGAGCAGGCCCTGAATTCGCATGAATCAGGAGCGCGGCCCGGAGGGGACAGAGTGCGGACGGATTCGCCGGACGGAAGGTGCCCAGAGCGCGGCCTCGAGCGGCGGGAAGCGCTGTCGAGGCACATGCATGGGCGGGTGGGGTGGCAGGAGGGGGGCATGGGAGGTGTGGGGGGCGTTCGGTGCACACAGCCGCGATGGCGGCGCCTTTGGGCGATGCGCGTGCTGATTGCGGGGTCAATCGTGGCGGCGTGCCTGGGCGAAACGGCCGCAGGCGACGGGAGTGGCGATCGGTTGCCGCCCAAGGGACGCCTCTCGCTCGAGGACTCCCTCTCGAGAGGTGAGTTGTTGAATCCAACGTCGCCTCTATCGGGCGGTCCGCATTTCCATGTGTGTGGCGCGTGAATTTGGACGGCGTGCGTCTGGCCGGGCGATGGGCAACGGGGAAGCGGTCGCCGTTCCGCGACGGCAGCAGGAAATCTGGTGCGGCACTCCGCCCTCATGAACTGTCGCGCGCCCTCAAAGCGGCGCGCACGCAGGGCGATGCATCTTCGCGACCGCCGCGTGGAGTTTGGACAGCTCCTTGAGCTTCTTGGCACGGTGGCAATGATGTTTGGACTCAACATGCACTCGTTCATCGTGGGCGCGACGCTTCACTCGCCATCATCCCTACCCCTTGACCCCTGCCACTGCGCCCACGGCTACAAGGACAACTTGGAACGGTGGTGTGCTCAGTCAGCCTCAACAAACCTTGGTGTTGCCGTACCACGCGTTCCCTCACACCTCCGCCCGCCCGTGCACACGCTGCCCTCCGCCCGCCCGTGCACACGCTGCCCTTATCTTCTGCTCACATGGCGCTCTCTCGTCTCTTTGGGCGCCGCTGGTCTGATAACCAAGGAGCACGCCGCGTTTCTCGACATGGTGCCGTTGCCCCTCGGGGCACATGCCCATGGCGCGCACATGTGCAGTGGTGCGTGGCCCTGCGTGGCTCGCAACAAAGCGCCCTGTGCACATCCCAGTGCGTGCGGACGCACAAGTTCCTGCCAATTTCTCACAAATTGCAACTGTGCACAACCTTTTGGCTGGACTCACGCACGGCCAATTTTTTTGCGACCGTCAGGGAGCCTCCCAAGGCTGTCGGCGGCCTCGCGCGCCGTCCTCCAAGCCCGCGGGGGCTCCGTCATCCCTGAGGACGCCGCCGGACTGCCCTTCCTGGCGCCCGGCGGGGTTGGCCGGGGGGTCCCCGTGGGGGCTGGCGCACTGGAGGGGGCGCCCAAAACGAGCGTGGTGTTCGATTGGGAGCGGCCAGGCTGCGCGATGCTGCTGCCGGTGGTGGAGGGGGAGTCGGGAACTAGGGTGACGGGAAGGGTCGTGAACACACCGTACCAAGGGGACGTCGAGTGGGAAAACCAGGGGGGTTTGGTGGCGATGGAGGGGAAGATGGAGCTGGGTTTTCGAGGTGCGCAGCGTGCAGATTGGAGAGATTGGAAATTCTTGCTCAGCTTACCCAATTCATGCAAATTCCTTGGTGCCAAATCGTGTCTCACAGTTGCACCGTGCGTTGGTTGCGGCCAGGTTTTGCAATGCATCCCACTTTTTCTGTCCGATTTTCGAAGGGTGGAGGCGTCTTGCTGGATTGTAGTTGTTGTTATTATGTTCGACATAGTCTATGCCATGGACTGTGAACACAAGGGAGAGTCGCTTCTGAATCCGATTCCAGGAATTCTCCTTGCAGGTCTCCAGACATTGCAGCCAGCGCAAGCTCTCATCCCCTGAATCCAGGCATGGTCTTTGCGCATGGATATTAGTGCGTCTACGTGTATTTGCTGGTGGACAAGGCTTTCCACATCAACGCATAATTAATTGCTTTTGGAACCAGTCTGACCAGGTCCATTTTCATAGCCATTTGGCTAGGGCGCTAAAGCGAAACTGTTTGATGATGGCGCCAATGCACTCGCGTCCAATATCAAACACGGTGTATTCCAAGGGTTCCACTTGATCGTCATCCTCTGTGAGAAGGGGGCGTCCGTGCGGGGGGTTGGGATGGGGTCTGGAAAAGGGAGTCTCGAGGCGGGGGCACACAGTACACTGTGCAGCCAACACGCAGATGTGTGAATGTGTGCATAAATGTGCGGCGTTTTATAGCGGCACAACTCTTGGCGAGTGCATAGTGAAAACACCAAGACTACTTGAACAGGGTCAGCACTGTCCACCCGAACGAAGTGGATGGCAGTGAAGAATATATGCCACTCTGATCCCGACGATCTAGTATTATTGGCGGTCGCTGCTGTAGATCTGCTGCAGAGCAAATTTGTTGAGACAAGCACAGTCTCTGTAGCAGCCTCTGTAATTGCAAATAATGTTGGTGTAGAGAACTCTTTTGGTCTTAATATATGTTTGCTTCACGACACGTTGCAGTTTCGACTTTGCAGAAATATAATGACCTGCCTATGGAACTTTTCTCTCAACAGGGTAGATACGTTGAAACGTTAATGTCTGAATCTACAAGAACTCTGCTCGATTTGGATTGTGCTCTGAGCCAACTTGTATAGTTTGCAATTGAATCACCGCCATTGGCGCCATCTGCATTATAAAGCAGCTCAAATGAGTGCAAAGCTCTTACTTTCTTCTATCGCACTGAATGAATTATGTTACAGCTCTTCCAAATCTGAAAGAACGAACTGGCTGGTGCCACCTTGCAGTTTAGCGGCTTGCCTGATACCTGTCGTTTCTGGATGTGAAAGCTATGAAGGGGCCACGAAGGTCACGGTGGGTAAGAGTGCCCTGAAAACGTAAACCTCATGTCCGGTATGAGGGGCGCTGGACAATTGTGGCATTTCAGGGCGAATGGTCGGGTGGAGACAGATTTCAAAGGCATTAAAGTTCCAACATTGGTTGGAAGGGGTCTGTCATGTCCTGTATGAACATATGCTGGCAACATGCTTCGTGCATGACTTTCTATGACCCAACAAGATTTCTCTGAGCGTCTTTATTTTGTGTGAATACCAGAAACATGCCCTCAGGGAGCGAGGGAGCTGCCAGGATTTCTGAACAAAGCCAAATTCTTGTCAGAAAACGACGAAGGCGTTATTGTGCATCCTACATTTGGGGGCGTCATTCATGGGAACGAAAACGACGTGACATTCGAGATAAAGAACTGGAGGGTGCGTGAGAGAATGTGTCAGCACTGTGCGTGGCAGCGCAAATCTGCACGATTCTGCCTGGGTTGTGTTTGAGAGATGTGCCTTTATGATCAACGTATTGACAACATTGAGTACCCAATTCAATTTGCATATATCCCAAAGTTCAACTGGATTTCGCTACTCTATGGCATCGAAGCTCTTGCGAGTATATGGAAATTCTTCATTTCGTGAGCCTCCCTTAGGACCTGTTGCGCATAGGACAAACGGCCCAAGAGAACCTGTGGAATTCTTGCTTTGCATTATGTGCAATTGTTCACTGCACTCGTTGTGGCCCTTGATATAAACGGTGCAGTCCAAGTCTGCATGTGGGAGATGGTGCTCATGGTGCACAACTATCTGTTTCATATCTGCCCAACTCCATGCGCATTAAGGAGGCGACATTAATGCGCAGCTGGCAGGGGTCTCTGAAAGGGCACCATCATGATGTAACTAGAATCAGTTGATGCATGGCCACACGCATCCTTGGATAGCGTTGGATGACAAACAATGGACATGTGTTCTTGGGGGCTGGGTGGCCACATAGCTCATGTTGGCTGACACGCTGTTAATGGAAAATTCAATTCAATTCAATTCGATTCGAATCAATTCAATTCAATGGATATCACCAGCATAAGCTGCTGATTTCAGGCACTTCAATCCCAACGCTAGATTGTTTTGACCTGCAGAAAGTCGCATGAAAACAGCACAACAGCTGTTAAGGTGGCACAAGTTTGTGTTGTGCATTGGGCACTCATTACTCCTTGTGTGACATCACCATGCCATCCACAGCCAACGAGTGTTGCCTTTGTGTAGATGTCTGCTCTCTCAAGCAGTCCCCTCCGTGTGGCAAATGACCAGTTTGGACTGGCAGTTTCGCTGGCCTTGGATCAAACAACACTAGTGATTCATAATGGAACGGAGGACAAGAGCTGGGACATTTCCAGGCTGAGAGCAACTGCAGTGGGCAATGGCAGGGTGTTGGAACAGGTGTGTATGGGGTGTGTTTGGATGTGGTGTGCCTGTGGGAGCTGCAGTTGACTTCGCTACTGTGGGCAACGTGGGTTGGTCAATCCTCTCAATACACTCCCCAAAAAATGCCAGAGGGCTGCCCTTGTGCTTCTTGGCCACGATGGATGTAATTCCAGCCTGAATGCACTGCAATTCGAACTGTAGACAAGGAGCAGACATGTTAGAAATATGCCTGGATTGGTACTGGTTGCAATCGCGTTGACACATTAGCAGCAGGATATTGCAAGCTAAGGCACCTTACAAAGATGGAAAGCAAAAGCCACACGAAAAATGTGTCCCTGAGCAATGACCATGTTGTTCAAGCAATGTTCTCCATCCTTAAAAACTGGATGCAGGCCCCCAGGTGATTCATCCTGTGACCATGCAGGGGGGCACATGTGGCCAGCAAAGAATGGGCAAAGGCAATGGATCAAAATTGTTTAAAGTCCTGAAGGGTCCAAACCCTGTTATGGCCATACTGCAGACGTCCTTGCACAGTTTTAGCTTATGAAAGCCCACCCAGAAACGTTGCCAGGGGTGGATCTATGATGGACACCACAGCACTCCTTTAAACACACAAGCAAAGATGTGTAGGAATCTGAATCTCAATTGTCAGAGCATCATGCCATCGGAATCTTGACTGATGGAGCGATGGTCTCTATGCACACAGCCCATTGCACCTCCATGGAGACGGTGTTTGTGCCAACTACACCTGTGATTGTTTGTGAGTGTTATCTGCCCGAATGGCAGCATATGCTGTGTTCTGAAACTTGACAATATTGCACATTCTGCACTGGTCTGTTCCAAATTGTGAACAAATTGGCCCCTGTTTGGCCAAATGGCTGTGGCAACAGCTGGCCAGCATTCTGTGGCAACACATTGGCCATGCACCCATTGAGCAGTGAGGACCGTTTCAAGGGGCCATAGTGACTGAAGTAGACAGCCTACGAGCGCAACACTGCACTACGGCACAGTTGCAGTGAAACTGTGGCACATCAGAAATTCACACGTTGTCAGCCATAAGGGAGGTTTAGGACATTAGCTGGAAACGAAGGCTCCCTCTCCTAGCCAGGCAAACTCACGCCTGATTTCCACCCGCAAATTGCTTAGGCCGTTGTGCTGTGCCAGGATGGTGAGATGCGCCTAAAGATCACCAATCTGCCCTACATGCTGGACACTGACCAGCTGGAGCGGAGGGGCAGGCCGCCTGTGAGGCTCATCCTGGAGTTCGTCTCCAACATCACCACAAGGGTCGACCTGCCTCTCGATCCACCGACCACACCGGGCGGCAATCGCACTTCCACAATTGGGCAGGGTGTCAATGGCACCGCCTCAACCGATGCGCAGGCCGTCAGCGGAAGCGAGGTTTCGGTTCAAAACTTTACAGAGGGTCCCGTGCTCTTTCTTTCTGAGAGGGACCTCACCCTTGCGGCAACAACGATGGTCGCGCCGGTGTTTGCGCTGGCGGTGCTGGGCATGGTGCTGACGCTGGCGACATTCTGGCACCTGCCCACTCTGCGAGCCTGTCTCACACCGCTGGACAAGAAATTGCTGCGACAGGTAAAGATATGCCTTCTCCAAAGCCAAGACGCCCCCCGGGTATTTCAAAGCCCACCTGAGATCAGGAGATACCATGCCAAACTTGTCTTGACAACAGAGAAGAACATGCCCAACAACTTGCGAGGCTGTTGTGAAAGCTGTGTTTGCGAAATTCCTTCAATTCCGCAGAATATGACGCAGTCCCCGCCGCGCCAGGTGACGGGCGCGATGGAGCGCGGCGTGAGCATGGGTTCCTTTGTCGGAGGTCGTGTGCGCGGCACCACCGACATCGGAGGTGGTGCGCCATGGACAGCCAAAACTCCCCGGACGTCCTTCGACATGGGTGCTTCGACGGTGGACATGGACGTGGGCAGGTCGACGATCGTGGGGACGTCCATCTCACGAGGCTCGCTCACCTTCCAGGAGTTGATGTGCTCAGTGCCGGTGAGGCGCAGCGCGTCCGGTGCCAAGAACAGGTGGGGGGAGTTCGACAAGGCGGCAGTGGTGCGGCGAGGGCCGTTCCAGTACAAGGTCATCCTGCAGCCCTGCAGCGGTAAGGGAGCCTTTCTTCTTTTTGGTTGTTTTCTTGGTCCTCATAGCCATGGGCTATGAGGACCGATGGCTTTCCGGTCCATATGGATGCGACGCGCAGCTGAGCTTTTCGGCGGTGTGCGGAACTTGTGCAGAAATTTGTGAAGAATTTGTGAGCTGTTGGATACGGTGTTGGTTGCCAGGAAAACAATTGTTATGTCAACCAGTTCGGTGGAATGATCATCGTCATTCGCATGTGGCCTATATCAATGTGGGCAGGCAGTTGAGGTTCCCATTTATCATGCTGTGTTTTGGACGCGCCCAGCCATCAGCCCTTATAAGAGCAACATCTTGTTGAAGCTCATTGCTTGGGGTTATCTGCCAAAATCTCATTTTCATGAGAATATGGGAAGCCGCATTGATGTCGGAATAGGACACCCCAATGATCTGAAATGGGTTGCTTTGAATCGCTTTGGGTTGATTTTGATGCGAGTTGCTGGGCATTGCACTCATGGGTCGAATGGAAATTAAACATCTGTGATCCGGAAATGTGAGCAAGCCAGTTGCAACAGTGATGGTACACACTCATTACTTTAATGCAGGGTAGCGCTGCAGAATGTTTAGAAAACCATATACATTGGGAATGGACGTGATGATTGGGTTTTGGTGAGGCTCACCGACACTGATGTAGGATTATTGCTACATTGTTCTCTACAAATTCATGAGTGACCCAGTTGCATCAACAGCTATCGACGGTCCACCAAGGACACCATGATACACTGCTGTCCATGGTGCATTGATGGGAACCAAAGTCGGCTGATTGGGACAAGGGCGTTGATTTGCTGGAGCTGCAGCAGGCGTAAGAAACGCATAACTGTATTCGGGATCGAATAAGGCCAGTGCAAGAATACAGTTATCTTGAGCACGGTGTTGGATACGCAGGAACACTGAGAGGCGGCGAGATCACAGGTGTGCTAGGGCCAGCTGGTTCTGGAAAGAAGGCCTTGCTACGCATATTGGCAGGGGACCTTAAGGACATGGACAAGGATGCAGTGGTACGAGGTGAGAAGTCTCTACCTGTCTGAGGGAAACAATCGGGACAATCTAAATGAATTGCAGAGATGTTGAATTCACAGAGAAGTCGCTGTAGCATGCACGCAGTGATGCCAACGTTATGCTTCCCTAGCACCGAAAATTGTCTTTCTTGCTGTCTTTCGTATGAATGGTGCTACTTGGGGAACCACCGAGCTGAAAGGTAAGTGTGCATACTGTGTGATGCCGCATAATACAGTTGCAGTGATGTTGACAATGAGCACAGTAGTTTGAACAAATGATAGGCTTACATGATGTTGCAGGCAGCTGGCACAGAAGTTTGCATGTCCCCGAAGCCAACCTCAGCAACCGCAGAGCTGTTGATGTTTGGACGGCTGGGGAATCCTAATGAAGCAGATGTTGGGATGGTGTGACTGCAGCTTCTTGGTGGTTGCATTGCAGGTTCCGTTTTCACCTTGGGATCAGGCTCTCAGAACTCGAAGGTCAATGTGGGGTTGGTGACTGGACAGAGCGAAACGCTTAAATCGATGACCGTGGCTGAGGCGATGGTTTACGCAGCGTTGTTAAAGTCGAAGCCTGGAACGGAGCTAACGTTAATAAAGGTAGGTGGCGCTTCGCTGGCGGGTCCCCCCCCTGGATGGAATATAAAGTGTGAAATACAGCATGAAGCCAGGGTTATTGGCTATGCGCAAAAACAGTAGCTAAATTTGCCTTCGCTCAGAACGACTGGTCTCCTAATCCAACTCTGGCAAGACCCAGCACTCGATTCAAGTGATCGCATCTCATTGATACAACAAACAGTGAGAAATTCCTGTAAGCCCACTTGGTGTGCTGTAGCGACGGCTGAGTCTGACATTGGCTCCCAACCTTGGCCATGGACTGCCTCACCCAGAGCCGAAGCATATTTTCTGCTGCTTTGCTCCGACCTTGATATTCATGCAGGTCCAGTGTTTGGACTCCAACACGCGCTGCCTGAATCTCAAGCTCGTCTACCAGTTGCTTGGGACCGTGCATGATGTTTATCGCCCAATTTTTTTGACAAGGGTCGACATGGTTGTTTGAGAGGAATAACGCTCACCTCGGAATCGAGAACGCAAAGAGTCCATGCAAGACGAATGCCTGCTGGCTGGCTCCACTGCAGTGTAGCGTGGGAAGGGATTTTAGATTTGTTCTGGCGTTCCCTGTGGGTACGTGACAATGCTGGAAACTGGGTATTTGGCAAATGGGTAGTAATCGGTTTGTTGAATCATCGAAATTAGTTGAGTTAGCTACTCGGAGCACCATCCCCAAACACAGATGCAAGAAATTGGGTTCGTTTGAATTGACTGTGCAATTGATTTCATGGATTTACTCAGCTTAAAACGGATTGAATGTGAGGAAGATTGTGTTAACTGGACAGTTCTTGACTGTGCTATCGGAGACTTCTTTCAGATACATAGTTAACTGGTGTCTGTGTTGGCGCTGCAGCAACGTATTCTCATGGCATCAGAAGAACTTCAGCTCACGCCCTTGATGTCGCGATTTGTGAGCGGAGGAAAGGGGCTAGACGGGGCGGAACGACGGCGGCTGATGATAGCCTGCGAGCTGCAGCTCGATCCGGACATTTTGATGATAGAGGAGCCAACAGCAGGACTGTCGGCTCCAGATGCAACAAATGTGATCAAATCACTTCGTCAGGTGAGAACTAAGGAACTGCATATCCCCAGCCAGTCAGGCATTATGGATATGGACTCATCACGTTGGGCGAGAATTCGCTAGAATTAGACTCCATGCATCCCGCTCTGCTGCGCAGCAAAGCATACAGTGAGGCATGCCAAACCAACTGTTGGATAGGAACAATAAGGTGACGATGCTGAAGAAATCGGTTTCGAAGAATGCTCAACAGGTCAGCGAGTTGGCATTGCTGGACACCTGCCATTCTTCCAGCGCCCGAACCACAGTGTGGTAGAGCATCTGTTATGGCCCTCCATTTGCCACTTGCAGATCGAATGGCATCAAAATATGTCATCAGTTGGGAATTATTATCAACCAAACAATTGGCAAGAACAGCTGCTGCCCTTGACATGCTCCCTCCTGGTTATAGTCGGCAACTGCTCTTCCTGCATGCTTCCCAGGTATCTCGCTTTGGGCGAGCCGTCCTGGTGTCCCTCAGCCAGCCATCCAACGACCTACTGGCGTCTCTGGACAACACGATGCTGATCGGCCGCGGCCACGTAGTATTCAACGGGCCCACATCCGACGCGTACAGATTCTTCGCCAGCGCCGCGTGCCCGCCGCCCAAGCGCAGCGCCTTTCTGCAGCACGCCATGAAGGCGCTCTCGGGGCCCTCCACCCTGACCAAACTGATCCAGGCCGCCGGGAGGAAAGAGCACCACCTGCAGGGGCGGGACCTCATGCCCGCCCTGTCGTTCAAGGTTGTGGATCAGAACAGTTGTCGCCGCAAGGCCGACCATGATCCCACATCCAAACTGAAGACCTGCGGCCCGTACACATCAGTGCCTGCCGTACAAGACAAAGCTGACGGAGCTTGCCGCGGGCAAGCGCCCAAGTTGTCTCCCTGCGCGGGAGGTGCCATCCGGGGGGGCACAATCGGTGGCGATGGTCTGCTGCAGGCCAAGGGGGCCCAGTCCGGCCGAGAGCAGACGGACATGGCGGAGGAGAGCGACCCGTCGTACACCAGATACGACGCCGTCGACGCCTGCGCCCACCTGCGGCACATCAGCAACGTCAGCTCGCAGTCGAGCCCGTTCGCTGGATTCGAGTTGAACAACGGCCTGGTGTGGCAGTCGTCGCGGAAGAGCCTGGATTCGGCGTCCGATTCGTCTGACCTTCCCCTGGACTCGTCGCGCGCAGCCGGGAGTCCAGAAGACGGTCGAAGGGAGGCCAGGCTGTGCAGCGCTTTGGAGATGCACACGCCCTGGGTCCGGGGAGTGGATCGATGCGACTCCGGCGCCGCGCTCTTGAGCAGATCTGCCTGTCCTTCCTCCTCCACCTCGCCCCCCGCCCGTCGGACGTCTTCCAGGTTCGAGGAGCTGCCGACCGTCGTCCCTCCGCGCGACGAGCCCGACGAACGGGGTCGTTCGTCCATCGACATCGACAGAGGTAACCCCGCGCCGCAGCTGCCTGTCGACGACAGCAGCTTGAGCTTCGACGACGACGCGTGCAAGGTGCAGCTGGATTGCCAGACCTCCGGCGACCTTATCGAGCTGGTCAGCATGAAATCGTTGAAGAGTGACCCGCCGTGGAGAAGGACCGCGCTGCCGGACGTTTCAGGCATCCCTGAAGCGGCAGGCTCTTCCCAGGCTGGACAGAACCTGGAGGACAGTGCCCAATTTCCCTGGAGGCCAGCGCGAAAGTTCCCCGGCAGGGGACGCAGCATGAACCCGGGCGTCGGGTTGCAGCCATCTTCGCCGCTGAAAATCGGCCAGGGGCCCTTCGGGCGACCGCCCATCAAACCCAGGGTGTCCCCCAACGGGAAAGGCGCGTTGGGGGGAGGTGAACCGTCGTCGCAGGCAGAAGCGCCTCTTGCTGTGGCGCCCAAGGGTGAGGCCTGCGAGCGTGCAGCACAGGTGCACAGGAGAGACACGGCCATGCCCATGCTGGGAAACGAGCCTTCCTCGACGTGCCTCGACGGCACACAGCGGAACTGCAGGCAAGTCCTACCAACTGGAATGGAGGCTTCAAGTCTTTTGACGGGCCGGCTGTTGCAGGCCTGCTGTGCAAAGTGATGGCGTTAGCGATGAATGAGTTGATTTCAAGTCAGGGCTTGCGGTTGCTGCAGGACACTCAAAAATATGACCAAGATGTAGAGGTTCGCGCACTGACACTTTGCTGGCTCGATGTCCCTCTCGTCGCACGGATACCGAGCACCTTAGTTGACATGTTGCCTGGGTGTCCACTGAAATTCTCGTAATAGCAAGTGCAAAGTCCTAATGACGGTGTGTTGGAATTTCAGGCACCTGAAGGAGCCCCCAGTCAAGCAGTCGTTGTCTCTGGAGGCCTCTCTGCTGTTTTGGAGGGGTTTAAATCACATGTACAGGGAGATGACGATGCTGACTGCCCATTCGCTCGCCGCCTTAGGTATGGACGACCATTCATGCAAATTCATGAGCAGCCTCTTGAAATTCCTCGTTGCTCCTGCTTTGAAGAGCGCATGCATTCGCGCATCGCTATGACATTTTTTGGTGTTGTAGTTTTTTGGGTAGTGTCACGAAGGCTGCATGTGTGGCGTGTTGAAAGGCTTTGGAGCTCTTCTGGGGCTGGTTTTTCTCGATCTTCATGCGGTAGACACAGACGAGCTCCGAAGCCACTCCACTGCGCTGTTTTTGGCCATGGCTATACTGAGCCTTTCAGCAGCTGCCTCGGCAAGTGGAGTTGGCGCAGAGAGGGCGCTGGCAGTGCACGAAATCAGGTGAGCTGAAGAATCCACCAGGGGCCGAGACTATGGGCACATTATGACTTCTGTTCAGATAGTCGCATTTTCACCAACCGTATCTGCCACGCCTTTCTTCGTCACTTTTACCCACCCATCATGATAAAAGCTCTTTGTCTTGACCGCAATCATGAAGGAAGCGAAAGATCCATTTTGAGCCAGAAGTGCCTTGTTTGCGATGGTATCCCAGCTTTCACTGTGATTAGCACCAGGCTTGGTTTTTACGTTTACGTTTACATTTTTACTTTTACGTTTTTACGCTATTTTTACGTTTTTGCGGCCCCCTGGGACGCCCAGATTACACGATGAAAGTTGCGTACGATGGTCAGTCCTCCGCCATATCCAGCACCCGCAACACAATGTCCACCTCGCCCTTGGCAAGAGCGATGATGGTGTTTAACAAAAACTCGTTTTCTGCCCCTTCCAGGGCGTCTGGCTGCCACTCTCCGGATTCCGTAAGTCTGTATGTACTGTCCTTATGTACACCGGCCAGTTTGTACGTTGTGTTTACGTATTTTTACGTATTTTTACGCGTAAAAACGTAAATGCGATCAGTTTTTACGGCGTAAAACCAAGCCTGACTAGCACCACAGCCATATTGATGGCATCATCGTCGCTAATGCAAGAAACTGCAATATAGCGGTTGTTGTACACGTAGGAAATGACTCAGGAACCCAATCGACTTGGAAAGACACGGGACGGGGAGGAGAGGCGGGCGCACGAGTGTGATGCTGAACATAAACAATCACAACAAATCAACACAAGCCAATTGCCAATGTGGCGACAAGCGACAGTGTGGCCACTGGCCCATGGATCTCTTCTTGCAAGAAGACGTCCATGGGCTGATGGCCAAACTGTCGCTGATCGAGGGCAAACAGGTCAAAACTCCCTCTAATTTCTTCCTCAAGCGCCAGATCTTCATTAGTGCCCCAAATATCTCAGTTGAACGCCTTTATTGCAGGACATCCCTTCAAACATCCCTTTTTGAACACACTGCGATCGCTGCAACCCTGGTTGCTTCCGTTTTTGAAGACTGCCTGGCACTGCTTACAATATCCCAGCGCTTCCTCTTCCGACCTTAAATGGCACCTCACCGGCATCGACAGAAGTATTGGCTGAGGACGGAAGAGGAAGGGGCCCCCGCCAGGCGGCGGCTGAGATTAGCGCCCACTGACGCCAAGCGTACCAAAATCGACAAGCAGCACCGCAGATTCTCAATAGCGCAGCACCACTTTGGGTTGAATTGCAGGAGTGCAAGAGTTGATTCCAGTGCTGGGATATGTCTTCCCGGGTGGCGTCGAACAGCCTCTCCCAACAAACACTCGTACAGCACATCCTGCTACGTCACACTTCACACATCATGTGCCGAGCCTTGAAGCATGACAATAGGCGATACTGTGAGGCTGCGGTGGTAGCTAATTACCCGTGCCGTCTTGTGTCAGGTCTGGCCATTACCGCACGATCAACTACGTCCTGGTGCATTCCGTGCTGAGCTTCCTCATCTTGCGTTTCATTCCTGTCTGCATCTTCTCGGGCGTGTTTCTGTCCATGGCGGAGCTGGACACCTGGTCCGAATTCTCATGGGCTACCGCCATGCGCATAACGCTCATCGTGGGTGGCCTGACCACCTTTTGGGGCACCATGTCGGGCATGGTGAACATGGCGCTGAGCTGCACAGCAAAGCGTGGTGAGGGTCCTGTCTTTTTGAGTCCTGCGCTTTCATAACATTCGCCAAAGTGTGGAAACCATTCATTTTTGGGAATTAATGAAAGTGGTGGCTATTCAGTTGAATAACGTCTGTACTCTGTGGATGACATTGATTGGTTGTGTTACGTAAATTGAAGGAGAAATATCCCCAGCACGATATGCGATTTTGATGAGTCCTTTGCCAGAAATGGTGATGCAGGACCCTTTTACCCAGGAAAGACCGGTGCCCACGTATGATCTGAAAGCAAACGTTCATGAATGCCGGGAGGTTCTATCAATATGTGGTAGGAATATCGGATAGGTTTGCATGCAATTGATGCCATTGTGGTGCGCAGATTGCACAAGTTTTGGTGTATAGCGTGAAATTTGTGCACATAAATTGCAGGGGAGAAATGCAAAATCTATCTGGCCACCTTACACCAGGATGCAGCGCCAGGAAGGCGTGCATTCCTGCACTGACAATGAGGTGCAATGCAAAACATCTGCTAATTTCCCAAATGGGGCTCATTGTCGTAAAACGTGCTCGCCCCTCCCTCAGGCGTGAAGATCCTCATGGTGGTCGGTATCGTCTTGTACGGCCCGCTGGTTAGTGGTTTCCTCATCCACAAGGACAACATCCCCTGGTTGCTGTCCTGCATCCATTACGCGTCGCCCTTCAGCGTCACCTTCGAGGCCCTCATGATCAGCGAATTCAGCAGCGTGTACGTGGACACCAGCAGACAGGTGCGCGCTGCTGCCCCGGTTGTCCTCTTGCGTTCAACCTGCTCATCAGCGGGAATGTTGGCGCCCGAGGAGGAGAAGCCGCAGATAGGCAGTGGGACAGAATCAGACCTGTTAGAGGCTGACAGTGTCAATCCGATGATTAGATTCGCTGACGGGGCGTTCTCCCCTCTCCGCCTTGAGCCCCACATCTGGTGCACATCCTCATTTTCTGGTTTTGCTCCCAAGTTCAGAATTCGAAGCGGAAAAGCGAAAGATTTCCGCTGAACAGACACCTCTGCACCGAGGGTGTGCTACTCTGCACTCCATGGCTTGGGTGGCTCCACATATCCTCGCCGAGGCTCGTGCCACATGCCGTGCCGTGATTGCTCATATGACCCGTACTTTAATTCATCAGGTGACCATCGAAACTCCCGAGGGGCCGGTGTCGACGCTGGAGGAAGACTCCTTTCGAGCCATGGGGCTGGACGAAGACAACCTGGAGGTGGACTCGGCGCTGGCCGTACTCTTCTACGCCCTCGTCGTGATATTGGCCGTCGTCGGGATGTGGGCGAAGTCCAAGAGGCCGCACACTCTGACAACCAGAAGAAACTGCTGCGGTTGAGGCGCCGGCGTTGCCCAACATCGACTGCCGATGTTGGCGCCTACCGAGCCAGGCAGGCAAAACGTGCATGTAGAGATATTCAGTGAGAACGATATTTTTAAAAGATGCCTGAGGAAAATCCGGCGGATTGATTCTTTTCGAATAGTCTTCGAGGGTTGTGAGGAGGATCGACGGCGCTGATTTGTAGTTACCGGTGACATCCGATCACATGCACTCACATCGGCGAGCTTGCGCCATGGGAGCGCTGTTGACACTTTTTACGCGCCAGCTTCTGACTTGGCGTGTCTTCAGAATAAAAGAGATTGTGCTGAGATCAATTGCGGCGGCCGCCAAGAGGGAGAGTGAAACATTCGGATTTGTCGTTGTGGTTAGCTATTGTGAGCGCTGCAGGACGATCAATCCAACATTGGATAGTTCTCCTTCGTGACGACGGTAGAAAACTGCAAGGGAGCCTGCTAGTTCCGGGCAAGAGCTTGTTCACGTGATAAATTTTGGACTGTGCACTGGGCCATGCCAGGAGAGCAGAGGCGCTGATGAGGAATCTGCAGAGATTCGATATGGGCGCTAGACGCCGTCGTCTCAACAGCACACATTTTTCACAGAAGGCAGTATCAGATGCCGCCAGTACGCGGAGCGGCGGTGGCCTGCACCCAGCTGGGCGCCCTGAAGGGCACTAAAACTCATTTGAATTGACAGATGGAACGTTTTAGGATTGCAGGCATGTTCTTGATGTTTTGATGGCTTTTCAGGTTGCCGGGGAACTGGTGGCTGCCTGCGCGGGCCAACGTTGCTACAGCGTGGCGTTTTGAAACGCCAATTCCGAATTCTAAATTTGGAATTGTTTCCACTGCAACGCAGCGGGGCCGCGTATCTGGCGGACCTCTCCCTTGAGATATCCCGAGGTAGCTGTTGGGCCGAACAGGGTGATGTGCACTGATAGAGGGCGTGGAAGATACGAAACGTGCTACAGGACAGGACTCGGTGTGGGCGTTGGTGAAAATGACAATGACAAGAGAGTTGTCGTGTGCATGGGCAGCAGATCGAGCTCTGGAAGACCGGCACACATGCATTCTCGTCTGGATAGCCCGGGGCGTAACGTGGGCATTGACTGCAAGCTTGTGCGATAAGTCTGAACCATGTTCACCTTCGGCACCAACCTTCGTGTCATCAGCAACCGATCACGAGTTGGGACAGCTAGTTCCCAAGTTGGGAGTGAAGAGAAACCCACGCTTGTGCCCAGGTGACCCAGTGCAGCAAAAGCACAGCGCGAGTGGGAAGTTCTGTGAGAGAGAACTCGATGTATTTTGAGTGTGTAACAACAATGAATATTGCGATAACGCTGCATGTCTGAGGTATCAAGCGCGTTGCATATACCGCAAACAGAGCACACATGATAGTATCACACGCATACCTTGTATTGCGACATTACCAACAGCTCACGCCATTATTCCCAGACGCAGTGCACGTGTGCTGCTCTTTCATTTCAGGATTTTCCACTTGCGCTGGGGACTGGCGTGAACTCCGTTCGGCAAGAGCTGTTAACACGTAACTGGCAAACATTGATAATTTGCTCCACATCCTGACCGTATTCAGGTTGTACAGCATGTTGGACACATGTGTTACGTTAGTGGAAACCACGTAAACGAACTTGAGAACCTGCTAGAACGAGCCCAAATGCTGTTAGGTGCTTTTGGGCACCATCTTTCACCATCCATGGAGTCATTCAAATCTTGCGTATTTGCCTATGTGGGGACAAGGAATGCCTGAAGGGAAACATTCTTCAACGGGAAAAAAATGGTGGAGGTAGGTCACAATTTGCTCGCTGGCCAAACAGATACACATATATGGCTCGCACATGATAGGAACCCAATGCATTCTTGTCCGCCAGTCTTGATGGTTCCAAATCAGTCGCGGCATGGCTCCGTTAGTCTTCTAAGCCAGGTACAGACTACAAAATATGGTCACGTAACTCCAGGTTGCTCATGAGTCTGACCAGACGCGGCCCACACGTGTACGGACAGCAAGTCAAGTGCATATGCGACTTCGTTGGCTCACGCATGGCATCGGATGGAACTGGAGGACAAAGCTGGATGCCCACTTCCTGGGGCCAATGTTGTGCAGCTCCGCGCTGTAGAAACCTGAACAAGGACCGCTTCCAGCCAGAGACCAGTTCTGATTTGATGAAGCGCCGTCCGAAGCACTGTCGCCATGACCACATGTTTGAAAAGCAAGTGTACAGCCGGTAGATACGGGGTTGATGAGTGCAGGGCGCATTATACAAGCTGGTCGATCGGAAGGATGGGGAGGCGCCACTCAGAAACAGGCTGCAATGGCTGGGGGATGCAATTTTTCGCGCGCTGAAGGTGTTTGTAGCAAGGTGCTCCTTCCTATAGACATACCCATAACATAAATTCGAATTTCTCTGCATATATGTTCAAGAACGGCCACAAAATCCACGAAGCGAGGGCTGAAACTTGTCCAACATGCCAGAAGCATGAATTGCCTCGCAGGTCAGTACAAGGGTCGCGCTGTATGTCTTCTGTTATCAGCAACAAAGGACATACCATCAATATACATCGTGCAAACGCGTCCCCTCTAAGTCGTCCCTCATCCACCCATCGTAGGTAAGCGAGGTGGTGTGGTGTGGTGTGGTGTGATGAGGGGTGGGGTGGGCTAGTGGGCTACGACACTTCTGCAGCGCCGATCAAGCCTGGCCGCTCTCACACTGGACCGGGGTGCAGCCGCAGGCAGTTCCCAATGCGGCGCCACCACATCCCTCCGCGCAGTCCCTCCTTGGACGCGTTCCCAGCATCAGTCGCCATGGCTGGAGCCGTTTCCCATCCCATTGCATGCAAACACCTTGGACCAGCAGGACAGTTGAATAAATGAAATGCGCCACAGCGCCCTGATAAGGAGATGTGTACATCTAGGGCGCCTGGGGAATTTCGAAATGACGCCCGCATTTATTCATCTAATGGCTGTAATGACGTCCATCATCATCAAATCCACGGCTTTTATTGACGGCTATCATTTCGCATAACGACCCCTGCGAACTGCTTCGCAGCAAATGCCTTCCCAATCCCGTCCAATCCCCTCAGGAGGGACAGGACACATGCCGGTGACCGATCTGCTGTCGCCAGCATGTTCAATATTTGAACAGGAAATCGCCCGCCTGAGCCTCGCATCCCTCAAGTGGTGCCCCGACACCCCTCCAGTCTTCGACCAGGGGGTCCTCGCTCCCAGCCTCCTCTTCGTCAGCCTCCAGGATTGGGTAGAGGCCGCGCTTTGGTCCACACCACGATGCCCGCACCCGGGGCTTCTTCTTGATCTTGATGCCACAAGCGCTGGCCCGTTGCGCCTCAATTTGTCTCATCATCTCATGGCTCAAGTACCTAAAACAGCGGCACACACTCTGTGAGGCACGTGTAAAACTATCCGGTGACCCAAAGCGACCCATCATGATGGCGTTCGGCGCGATCTTGCAATGGAAGACAGTTGAGGCTACCTTGCATGCATGGCAAGTGTATTACGATATCTTCCCTCAGACAATTCGGCTATGTCACGAGTCGCTTCTGGGAAACGAATAGCTTCTGGCTGAAGCCGCAGAGGACGATGGAAAGTATTATCGGCAAGAATTCACCGCTTCACACAAATTTGTCCTGTTTGAGACTGTGCTAAAAGTAGTGAACATTGCGCACATGTCCTTGCACCATGCATGGTTCAGAATTCCTCTGTGCTGCATGTTGTAACTGCTGCAATCATTTGGCGGACGACAAGGTGCAAACCGAGCCATGTGCTAAGCGATCGCAATCCCAATCGTGTTTCTTGCCGAACTTCATTACGTCAGTGACGGCTGACATCAATGCAATGACAATATCACACAACTGCGTAAGAGCCATGATGATCACATAATATGTAATCGTCACTTATGTAACACATGAGATATGTTCGCATAATGTGTACTACGATATGATGGCATAGTCATAATGGCTGCATGCGATGGCAATCAGTCAATCACTGCATCGTTCAGAAAGTGACATTAGGAGGCCATCAGCTTGCTCTGAAATCCCAAAGAGAAGCACACTGTGGAAAAGCCACGGATCGGATCAAGACAATGAACCTGTATCGGCCCCGCCTCGGCCGGGGCACACACCCCACACATGCAAATATCATACAGTCGCCGTGGATTTCTTTAACCCTGGGGAAAACCGCGGCAGCGAACGGCACCCGCGCCGTACCTTACTGCAGGTACGGTACGGCCCACGAAGACGACGCGCTGGGCGTGGTCCGCGCACAGCAGCAGCACCATGAGCACGAAGACGACCGTCAGGCACCAGCACAGCCCGAAGACCACCTCCCCCCGCTCCCTCTCCAGCGCCTCCCCGTCCCGCCCCACGATCCACTGTCCGCCTGCGAACTGCCCGATCGCGGCAACCAGGTGGAACGAGCACACCAGCAGCGCCAGCAGCAGGCCCACAGCCGGCCGGCATCCGCCCGGGGGCCTGGGCGCCAGCGCGACGCAGGACAGGACGTAGGCCACCGCCGCGAGGCAGGCGGCCAGCTGGATTCTGACAATCCAGGCGGTGAGGCCGGCGAGGCTCCCGCACTGCGCCTGGGAACACAAGTCGTCCACGGCCGACAGGGCCCTGCCCTGGCCCACCAGCTCCAGCCCGCCCAGCGCTGTCGAGGCGAAGGCAGAGAACGCCCAGAAGAGCGCCAGGTCGATCGACTGCCCTGGCGGGGGCGCGCGTGCCTTGCACCTCCAATCCGAGGCGAGCATTCCCCCGCGGATTGGCGTCAGGCCGTCGCCGCCGCGCGGGTTCCCTATTGGGGCCGCCCGGCCGCCCCCCGCCGGCCCATGCCACCCATCAGCCGTCGGCGCCATTCAATCCAAGCCCCTTGCCCGCCAGCCACCAGCCTGCTGGCAAACTCGAGTCGAGCACCGTCGTTGCGAACTTTCACCTTCCGGCCTCGCAAAGCCGATGGCGAAGAGCCAAGGAATGCTAAGGCGCGCCCTGATCTGCCGGGGGAAAGCCGGGGGAGGCCTGGGCTTTGGGTCGGCGCTGGACGGCAGGGGGGAATAGCTTGGACGGGGGCACCGACGCACTCCCAGCGCGGGGGGCCCCGCCCTTGACGGTTCCCCCTTGGACGATGTCCATATCCGCTGGCCAGTACATGGGCGGCGTACAGGGCGCAGCCTGGCGCTTGAGGGGTCACCCCGTCAAGCGCGTGATGGCTGCGGATTGAAGATGGCCGAAAAGTACGGCACAACACACGCCCAGTCGCAGTGCTGGCGGCCGGCTCGGCGATGCGTCAGGTACGGCGTCCGATGATCCGTACTACGGCCGCCATTGCGGATAAGGCCTGCGTTTTCGAGGACAGCGGCGCTGAGTCTTGTTGGCTCCCCAGTCACAGTACCGTTTTCTGTCATCTCCAGCCTCTGGGGCACTGACGCGCCCGTCGAAACTGTGACGCTAAGTTTCCAAGGCATCCGGTTGACCTGCCCAGGGCGCCGCTTGACCATCAGTCATTAAAGGAAAACGAATGAACGAGAAACGCGGCGTTGAACGTACGGCACCCCAAGGGGACGGTGTGGTGTGAGTGGATGGTGGGAGCTGTCCCCCAGAAGGCGGCACCGGAGGTTGAGAAGTCGAGCGCTTTCCAAGCCGCTTGTCCCTTGCAACAACCGTGCGCTGACTGGTCTTTTTGATGCAGAAGCAGAACAAGCGCGGGACAATGGGGTGCGATGCCTTGTGGAGGAGCTGGGTGCACGTTCGCGTGCTTTGAATGTACAAAATATCCCTTCTACCGATTGCTCAAACAGGAAAGGACACAGCCATACACATGGCGTCAATGTGGCTGACAGGCTACTGTTGACCATTAGGATGCTTGATATTTACGGCGTAAACGCTGAGTATATACGCGTATTTAGTTGTAGAAATAGTTGTTACGTTTTCGCGTTAATATGTGTAAAAATGCGTAAATTTTGACCCGGTCTGCGTGAAGATAGTACGTGCAGACTCAGGGACTCCGGGGAGTGGCAGCTAGATGCGCTGGAGTGGGCAGAGAGCGACCTTTTGTTCAACCACATCTTTGCACTTGCCGAAGGCGAGGTGGACGCTGTGTTGCAGGTGCTCGAGAAGGCACAGTACTAATTACTGTTTGCAATTTCATCACGTGACCTGGGTGTCCCCACGAGCCGTAAAAATGCCTAAATATAGCCGTAAAAATAGCCCCTTTTGCAAATTTACGTTTTTGCGAATTAAAAATGTAAGTAGTCATAAGACAAACATGACGATTGGGGAGTGTTTCAAGCCGCAGTTGCGCAGCAGTGGATACCCAAGCGCACGGATGTCTGGCCCTGACGATGAGTGAGGTTCAGGATGCGAGTTTCTCGCTGCAAAGCCAGGCCAAAATCAACACTCCCTCCGGACGAAGTTGATTTGCATCCGCCCTTCTGTCATTCAGAGCTTGAATCATTCAATTGTACTTTAAGCAGACATGGCAAGCCACTGCTCCAGGCACCGTGCGTTGCCTCACGTGTCAAGGCGACGTTGGGCCGTGCTCTACGCACATCGCTTGTTCCTTTCACCATCGTTCAGAATGACACGACCTTTTGTCATGCTCGCTTGCATGGGTCAAACGTCTGCAAAGCGAATTTGATGATTGAAGCCATGTTAATCACCACATTTACACCATCACATCACGTTGACTGCACTATTTCTCCATGAGCAGCGAGAAGAAGCAAGAGCCGGTACTTGTGTAAGAACTTTTAATCCTTTTATCTTACTCAGTTCTTGCATCGGATTCTCATTTGGATGGGTTTTCCTATTTTCTTCATTGTCCCGTCTCCTTGTTGTAGTTCAATCTTCCCGAACATTCGAATACACAACCGCAATCTATACATGTGTAAAGACGCTGAAACTGTTCCATCTGAACGCATCCCATTGCCTGCAGCGTCGCTTTGCATATTCTAATCATCTTGTTTTGAGAATTTCCCATCATGTAGAAATATGAGACAAGGTCTTAGCCCTCAAAAGCCGTTACCCTGGCAGGGCATCCAGAGATAAGAACAGTGTTGATAGAGCATTGATGATCATTGCTACAACGGGTGTGCTGATGCATTCAAATGGCACTGCTGCAATGTACCAGCACCTTGTGGGCAACAATCGTCTTGATCTTGGTGCCCCTGGCGTGGGTGAAGTGCTAAATTTAATGACGTGTTCGAGCCAGTGACAACAACGACAATAACTCTGGCGAACTGTTGATAGGGGAGGATTGATGCCATTCTTGTTGTTTACGTTTACGTTTACGTTTCGCGTTTACGTTGTTACGCGCAGAAACGGAAACACACAGAATCGGCTATTCTTACGACTATATTTACGCATTTGTCCGGCGCGTTGCGGCGCCCAGGTTACATGATTAAATCGCCTACAATGATCAGTCCTCCCCCCCCTCGAGCATACGCAGCACAGCGTCCACCTCGCCCTCGGCAAGGGCAACGACGCCGTCGAACAAATGTCCGTTTTCTGCCCACTCTGCCCGTTTGCCTGCCACTCTCCTGAGTCTGTATGCACCGTATTTATGTACACGGGGTCTGCATTTACGTAATTTGGGGCCTGTTTTTGCGTGAAACGGTAAATAATACGAGCTTGTCATTACGCCGTGAACAACAAGCCTGGTTGAGGCAACGATGCTAGCAGCGCACCGGCAGCTCGTTCGATCCACGGACATCAATTTCGAATCAATACCATTCACGTTTTCTGATGGGAATCGGTGCTTTTGGCGACCATTCCAGATCGCTGTGCGGGAATTTGAAGGCAATTACATGGAAACACGTGCGTCTATAATCTGAAACTGACCGACAGCGCCCTCGTCTTCATGATACTGTTTTACGTCGCCGCGTGCTGCTGGTGTGCTGCACCGTGTGGTTGCACATGCTTGGGTCGCTCTTCCTTCAGGCTGCCGTCGGTCTGTTGTGGGTTTCTTGGCTCAGTTCATGTAGCATGTCTCGATTTTGGGGTGCCTGAAACGAGCTGCTCAACCACAGCAGTTAATAGACCTCCTATTCGGTTCGATGTAGACTGCTTTGTTCGAAGGTCGCTAAAATCCGCGCTGAGATGGCCAACTGTGCACGAAGACCCATTGCTGATTCCAGGGATGTCCTGCAGGCTTCTGGGCAATGGGTTCACGGCGGCACTGCCTCATATTGTTTGGCTGTCTATTGCTTCCCCTGCTTCATTTGCGATGGCTGGCCCACGTTTGCCAGCTCACTACAACAATGGCGTGGTCTACTTGCGTGGCCCGGTAGAGGGTCATGACAATGGCCATATGGGCTTCTGCAAGGCCCAAAACCCCCAGTCCTGCCTTCCTAACTTCTGCATACCTTTGGTGACGGGTGGGGTCGATATGTGTTGACGTCCCTGTTCCAATTGGCTACTTGCCGTGCTCCAGCACGATCTCCATGCGAGAAAACTGGTCTGGTGAATCAATGTTGGTTGCCTTGGAAGTTGCGCTTCCTTGCCGCCTTGATTGCGGATCTATACCTCAGGGGTCTGAGCAATGCTGGCAAAATACCACCAAAAAAAAAAAAACTGCACTTGGCCAAAGTCACTGACCGATCGTGCGGGTTCCTCAGGTCGTCATCAAAGACGGTGGACCTGCGTCTCGGATACCAGCGGGTTGAAATGCTGCCGCACCAACTCTCCTTTGCTCAGGGCGTGTACACGTCACCTTGTCACTTGGCGCCCGCTGGGCGCATTTGGCAAGACAGCCATGTGGGATGGGCTGCCCTGGGCGCGCCGGGACGTTGGTTGCATAGAAAGGAAACTGCGAGGCCCAGGGCACGCATGCGCACTCGATCGACACACAAGTCCAGATTCCAGTTTGGACAAGGAGTGTCCTTGCCGCCGAGCCGACGACAATCCTCTTGCTCGAGGCACTGGCAAGGTGGTGCTGTTTGAAGCACTCCAAATCCGTATTGCAAGCATTAACATCGCGATGTGCGTGGGAGCAGCCCCGCCAAATATCACCTTGTGAGATGGGAAGCGGGCCACTCGAGGTATTTAGCAATTCACATCTGTCACCTTCTGGTCGAGCAAAAGTTGACAGCAGTTTCCCATCACTTTTTGCGACAAGAAAGGAGCAAACGCTGCGACTACAGAGGATGAGGCAAGCCACTGGCAGCAGGACTCGTGATCAGGTAGTCCATGCTTACTGAAACTCATCGAATTACAATTTCTACAATTTTCATCTTCTGAATGTCACACGAGAACATCGGCATCTTCGCAAGTCCCCCCGCCCAAGGCATATCAAATCCAATTATGAAACCCTCCATTTCCCCCGCTTCATCAATTCAATTAATGAATAAAATGTGTCAGGCCACTGACGCCAAAATTGACGGAACAGAGTGGCATCAGCGCCCATGCACGTACAAAAAGCATTCCAACCTCTGTGCTGCACTACCCCTCACACCCAGGGCTCGTTCATTTCCCATCCATGCCTATCACTACGTTAAGTTTTTACCAAGTTCAGGTGTGCTCTGCGACCATCACCATGTCACCCACAGCCCCAAGTAGCAATTTTTAGACCCTCATCGGCAGCTACTGTGGTACGCCAATGCCACCCTAGCAGTATAGTTTATTTCCCTATCCCTCAGGCCTTATGGTTGGCGGTTTGCGAATCGCGCATCTCATTATGAACACTCAGCCAATTGTAGGGACCAACCCAGCAGCTCATCAACCAAGCAGCAGCCCCAACGCTTCGCAGCCAGTCAATACACAACGACTTACCACAGCTTCCAAAACACATGATATCTTCACCCACGTCCTTCGCGTCAAGCTGACTTAGCATCCCTGTCAGTAGCAAGGCTTGCTCTACATTCGCCTTTACTTTCAGCATTATTCTGTGTTGAATTGCCCCCATCATCGGCTGCACGGTGCAAGCGCCATGTTTCGGCGTTTGGGGCAAAGACAGCAAACACAACCCGTGCATCTGCAACCACAGGGCTATGGTCTTCCCCTGAACGTCATGACCTCGGTTCCAAACAAGCCTGCCACCATCCTCATCCCATCGCCTTTCCTCACCGATTTAGCCCCCCAGCGTCACGACATCAGCTCCAGGTACTCGTGGCTGACGGGTTTCATCCTGTAGTGGCACGTGCACCCTTTGTTGGCCGCCACCTGCCTCAGGTACTCCCCGGGTATCCTGCAGGACTTCAAGTACCCATCCACCCGGAAGCCGCTCCTCAGCGCCGGCCGCACGTCCTCCACGCCCCGCAGCACCTCCAGGCAGGGCAGCACCGTCTTCAGGAGCCCCCTGTCGAAGGGGTCCCCAAGGAACGGCGGGCAGGGAAGCAGGTTGAATGGCTGCAGGCTGCCCGCCAGCGGCTTGTCGTCCACCAGCACCGTCTTGCTCAGGTCGCGCCCCAGCGCCCACAGGTCCTTCACGTTCTCGTGGTACCGCGTCCTCACCGTGGACTCGCGGAACAGGCACGCCGAAAACATGCGCCCGCCCGGGTCCAGCCACTGCACCAGCGGCTTGGCGTACGCCTCCTCTCCCGCGGTGAACAGCACAACCTCCGCAAAAGCCGACACTCTGGTCAGAAACTCCTCCACGCCGGGCCTCGCCGCCAAAACGACGGGCTCCCCGTCCCGGGTGCTGAACCTCGCTCCGCGGAGCTTGCCGGAGTCCACCGCGAACAGAACCTCAGGGGGCGCGGAGGCCGCGGGGTAGCACGCCAGCAGCGTGTGGTCCAGGTCCAGCACCACTGTGAGGGGCTTCGGGGATGCGGAGTGGCAGGGTCGGGCGGGCAGGAGGGCGGGGTGGCTGGCCCGCTTGCAGGTCGCCGGCCGCCCCTTCCTGGGGCCGCATGCGGACCGAATTTGCTCCAGCATCCTCCCACGGGACGCATGACTCATCCCCACGCCCGCCTGGGCGCTGGCGCGGAGTTCAACCCCCCGTTCGCCGGACTCTTCGACCTGTAGGCCCCTCGGACGGTCGGCCCTGCGCAGCGCCAGAGTCCAGCGGGTGGACACGGCCGCGACGCCCAGCCAGAGGGCCGCCAGCCTCGGCCACGCCCACTGCGCGTCCAGGTGGCCCCGCGACCGCCACCACGCCCCGCACCACTGCCAAAAGGCGCACAGGGCGGAGGCGACGATCAGGGCCAGCAGTGAGCCCAGCCCCCTCGCCGGGACCGGCCCCGTCCTGGCGCACTCCGCCATCGCGACCTCCAAACACCCCTGTCGATTCCGAAGTGGGATGAGATCGCCGCAAACGTCGGATGTCTTTTCAGCCCTTACAGAGATACAGTGGACTCTCGTTGGCTAGCGCGGCCAGTGACCTGGTCTCCGCGCCTGAGCCGCGCCCAGGACGCCGCGCTGGACTCCTCCCCGCTCCTCTGGACGGGCCCCGTCCGCGGTGGCGCGCCGCTGCCGCTGAGGCACGCAGGCGCACCCCCTTGTGGACTCTGCAAACGGCCACGCACACAAACACGCACACAGGCATCAGGGCGTTTGGCTCACGATGTCCGCAATCAGGGACAGGCCTAAAACCGCCGCCGTCGTGCCGGGTCTGCCGAGGGCAGATGTTTCCGCCGATCGGCATCAGCGGCTCAGCGGCATCTGGGGATCAGCTACGCAAGAAGCGGTGGCTCACGCGGTGCTGAACCACGCGCCTTCCGTCAACATCCGTGAGTTGACCTCGCGATTCAAAGAGCGGGTCGGGGCTCCCCTTTGGTTTAGGCGGCCCCCTCCTTTTTGTTCCGCAGGTGACGGGGTTGGGTCGCGTGGGGAGCCCGACGGAGGCGAAGAAGATTTGCCAGCAGCGACCAGATGGGTGGACGTGGCAGCGCCCTCGGTGCATACCTGCTTCAACGCGAAGCCCGGTGTCGTTCGTTGGGGGCAAAGGGGAGGAGAGGCGGGCGGCGTCCCGCGGGGGACAACGCGGTGTGTTGGTGTGCGGGACGGATGGGGGTGTGCCAAGGTTGGTCGCTTATCAGCTTGGGGAACGCCCTGGGTAGCTGACGGGCGGGGCAGACCTAATAGGATAGCCAACGTTTCCTGGCTTTAGAGCTTGTTGGGTCATCGGGATGAGCGCAGTGCGGGACCAGCCAGAAGTACCTTGTCGGTCATGAGGGACACGCAGAGTTGGTGAACAAGCCCAGTCAGAGTTGCAAGGAAGCCGAGAGTACTGATGTCGCCCGCATTTGATTTGAACGCTTTGTCTGGCCGGCCGATAAATTGGAAAAGGGATGCATAAAAGCTGGACCACCTGGGCATCGATCCCAGTACCTCTCGCATGCTAAGCGAGCGCTCTACCATTTGAGCTAGAGGCCCATGGCATCCGGGGATGCTAGACGCTATATATTCACCAAACAGTTTGTTCCAAAACCGTCCTCCTTACCACACTGCATGGATTTGTTCCGTTTATGTTAGTGTTGATTGAAAGCAGGTTGAACAAGTGAGCCACCTTCGTGCGTGAGGATGCCTTCCCTGCACATACTTGCAGGAGACCAAATGGCGGGTACATTTTTGTGTACAAGCCCACATGGACAGCAAAACCTTCAGCACCAACAAACCAGCAGTATAAGAAAATAGCAGGACAACAGTGTTCATCTGCTCCGCAAACTTGCACAGTTCCTAAACATAACAATCCTTGTTGTCCAGTCACACATCGCACATATCTTATATTTTAAACACTTTGTTCGTCATTCCGGCTGGCCCGCCCACCCACAGTGGTGCATCAGCATGTATGGAGTCTTGAAGGAAGCAGGGCCGAGAGCTGCCACAGAAACTGGAGGATACCTTATCCCCTGCTTGAGAACAGACAACTGCACAGGGGGTTGCAGGATGGACACCGTGAGGGTGGAGTACTGGAACGCAACTTGGCAGTGGCCCACTGGAATCAAGCTTGACATGTCACACTTTTGCTCTTTCCACTCCACACAACACACCTCCTGAATTTAAATAAAATGTTGATATGTAATGAAATTATCTGTGGCGGAATCCTGTTCCGCACCATGCCGTACTACACATTGTCGTTCCAGCCAATGTCTCACTGCCCTGCATCGCTGCTATCCATTCAAGACTGCACTCAACTTCAAGACAATCTACACTTGATGTTCTGCACTCTCAGCTGCCTCTTCCCAATACCATTCCCAGAGTGTTCCAAGGCTACAACAACAGTCAGCACCCAAGCAACCGATCCTTAAGCTCCAGATGGCCATTGGTTGCACCCAGTTCAGCGGGTTGTTCAAGAAGCCCATGTCATGGACTGCGCCCACAATGCACCACGACGTCCAGCATGCGCCAAGTCCATCAGTAGAGCCAGTCCCGCTTGCATCCCACCTGGTGACTGCAGGCCCAGCGTACTTCCAAAATTTGTGGTGAGCGACTCAGTAGAACAAAGATCTGAGGTATAAGACCATCAGGACCACCGCAATCACAACACCAAGGGGCATCCATTTCCGAATGAGGGCCTGCCAATACACAGAACCTCCTGTAGCTTGTTGCCCCACACATTCTGAAACTACCAGAGGCCGTTTGCAACAACTCGACAACAAAAGAACCAAACAGTGCTGTGCTCCCAAAACTGTCTTCCTCATTGTCCCTTCTGGACAAGATGGTACATTGGTTGACTATTGTGTACTGCTGTGGTTTAGTAGTTGGCCCTTGGGTATCAAACTTTATGTGCTGTTTGTCAGCAGAATTCGCAGTGTTCTTGAACAAGTTCGCGCATATTTTCGCTTCACTGTGCCTCCCTGTCACTCGGCCTTCTTATCCCAAATCTTGAAACCAAGGATGTATTCCGCCCTGTGTCGCTAACTCACCCAACAGATGTACTCAAGGCTTTCGGTGGTGAGCAGGATCAAAAGTACTGACGGAAATGCAACTCGCAGTTGTACACAGCGCTGAATCAGCCAAGGTGGAACAGGGGCAGTTGTTTGCCGTGTTATGATGAATGCCGGGAATGCATGCTCACACCAGGTAGCTATGCATACCACTGCTTACTCAAAGGAAGGCAACAACAACACAAGCACATTCACACCTGTGTGTGCAGATCCTTGGCACGCCTCGCATATATACTGCTGTCCTCCTTTAAGCGCCGACCATCATCCACCATTTCTGTTGTGAACAGCCAAACATTCAGGGAATTAGGGTGGCACAAGTAATCCATCGGTGTGTTGGGATTAGCAACTTGTTGAGAAACCACAAAACACCTCCCTCCTTTCAGGAATGCTGCAAGGCGATGACCGCAAGTGTCAACTTCTTCTGCTCCTGATGCCACACCCAAAGCCAATACCTACATCAGACCAACTGCGTGTGTGGGGTGTGCTGGTGTGAGGGTCATGAAATCGCATTCTTTAGCAACACAGCAACTGCGTGACCCAAGCACAGCCAGTAGACTACACATGATGTTGGTGAGGACTGAATCAAGAGACAAGTCATACACATTATGACAGCAATGGTTGGCACTGCTACACACCGTGGCCAGCTCTTGTGCTGCACCAGGGGATGCCTACAACATTCAAACAGAATTTTCTGAGGACAAGACACTGTCTGTCTTCCTCTTTGAGGTGACCTCTGACTGTGTGTAGAACCTACTGTTTAGTCGCTCTCCCTGGCCCAGCACCTCCTGTATGCTCTTCGTCATAATTTGGTGGACCTCTGACAGCTCCTCATTGAGTTTTGCCATGTTCCTCTGGGTCCGCGTGTCCAAGTACAATTTCTTTGTTTTTTGAATAAATGTGTCTGCAACCGCCAAACATCAGCGTCATAAGCTGATCAACAGGTGTATTGGCCTCTTGGAGCAGACCCATATCCCAACTGGTGGCCTCCCAACTTCCATTGATGTACTCAGCCATGTCCTTGGCTAGGGCCACGTATGTACAAGCATGCTTTGCCTGCCTTGGCCAGAACATCAACTTTCAACAGCCAGGGCCATTGCATGGCCTTTGCAATCCTGGATGCATGGCCACGATCTGGACAATGTTGTACTGGCAATCGCCATAACAAATGCAACTGCAGGGGATTGGATGTTTGCAGGCATAGGAGGCATGACATACAGTGGCTTCAATGTGTCTGCCAGCATTGCTTGCCTTGCGGAATGATACTGAACTCCCACAAGGGACAACACAGGGCAACATGGCATGGTGACGTAAAACAGCACGGCGGCCTCGATGCATGGATGAGCTCTTCTCAGCAGATCTGTGCTTGGTCTAAACAACCAGCTGGCTGCATGTGGGGAAGAAAGCAAGTAGAATCGACAGCAAAATGATGGCACTGTTGTGATTCAGCTGTGTATCACAAAGTTGGAATACAATAGGTGCAAGGAGGTGCTCATGCATGTGGGTGTTTGTTGTTAAAGGCAGGGGACAGGGAATCTTGCAGCCAGCAACACAACAAGTCAGGGCCTTGGTACAGGTCACCGTGTCCGGAACAGCCACAGCATATCTGTTGGCTGCTGCCTGGGTCACCAAGATGTACGACCCTCAACCCACACAAACACCGCAGAGCACCCTGCATTAGCACAGCAGCTTCCAACCTCTTATCCTATTGCTAGACACCGACACTTTTAGAATTTCACACATATGCCAAGTCTTCTTTTCCCTTGGGAACTACAGCCGCCCAATGGAGGGACTGCCAAGGGGAAAGACCTTCTGTGGAAAAGGAAAGTGGTGCTCAAAAGGGCCTTGAAACATACAGGCAGTAGCTTTCAATGGGCAATCCACGTTCGACTGGACGGCCAACACGTCAATCCACAGCTGGTGCACTTCTTTCATCCGGTTGACTCCTGTGGTTCAGCAGAATCATGGTTCTGTTCTGGGAATCGAAGGCTTCCTTCTGCAAATTAGTTGGCTGAACAGCATCGTGTCCCCACATACCCAAAGACCCTTGTCTTGGATTTCTGCCTCCATTGCAATGGTCTTTTGCTGTCTTCAACAAGACACTATGGTGTCACCTCTGTCGCAACTGTAATCACATTGATTGGCGACTCACAACAGATCCAGACACACAGCAATCTGAGGAGGGAGAAGCCCTCAGAAGCGAACATGGGGCCAACTGGTGTGGATTTCTGGTTCCCTTTGATGAAAGGTTCTGTCTTCCACTTTCAGCATGCCTGTCTTGCTGAGTTCTTTGGGCAGATGCTGTCAGGGTTGCTAAGAGGCCTGACACACTGCCTGAACTGGTTCCGTTACTCCGAAGGGGCTGACTGGTCAATGATTCGCGAGCTTGTATCAACCCAACTGGTGTGCATCGCCATCAGGACTCTCACCAAATTTTATGAAGGCGTAGGGGCGAGCCACCGTCTCTATCTGCTGGCCATACAGCCTCTGGAACTCGTTGAGCAGCTCGTCCAGGTACTGGAAAGCCAGCTTTTTCGGGTAGCTCTTCTCGGCCACCGTCATGTAGCACACCACGCCTTCGATCAAAATGTGAAAGGAGAATTTGCCACTGTCGATGGACATCCTGCTCGCTGTCTGTCGCTCTTGCGACAGGCGCTTCATGAGTTTCTGTCACGCAAGGGGAAGGCCAGTCCATCAGTCACGCGCCCCTGGCACATTTCCAACCCAAACGGCCGCGTTCAAACACCACACATCACGCCACTCCCACCTCTCAAGCCCGCGCTTCGCCACTTCACAAGGCGCCCAGGCGCCAATCGCAGCGTCTCACAATGGAGGGATCGATTCCCCTCGTCAGACAGCTTCCTTGTTAGGAACAGGAGTCCGCCAGCGCCAAGCACTGAGAACCCATCCCGGTGCCGATCCTCCCCTTATTCCGTCAGAGACCCCTTGCCCCCGCCCATCTCCGAATCGCCAATGGCAATGCCGCGACGATGGCTCACAGCGCCGCGCTTACCTTGGCCTGGTGCTTGTGTTCCTCGAGCTCCAGCGCCTTGTCGTTGTCCAGGCCCTCCGCCAGGGGCAGGCCGTCCGAAATCCGCGCGATCATCGTCAAGCGGACCATCTTCAGCCAGATCTGCGGCAGCGTCGGGCAGTGTGTGTGGGTGCAGGTCGCACCAGCGGGGGCCGCCCACCAGCGGGACGAAGCGTGGTCGGTGGGGGATTGGTAAGCGGAGGTGCAGACACGGGGTGTGTCCACAGGAGGTGTCCTTCAGGGACCGCACTGCAGCTCCTATGCGCGAAGCTGTTCTTGAATGGAAAATTTGGTTGTGTTCGTGACGTTGTTACGGCTAGAACTGATTGAGTGTTATAAATAACTGAATGCATGAAAAGATGACGAAGCACTAGGAATTACATTAAGGATATTGATGAACGGACTGGGTATAAAGGACAGAGTGTCTGTTGTCCTTTTGCCTCGGCTGTAAACCGTTGCCGTGGACTTGAGCGTACGATTCCCGTTCAGGGATCGCCACCCCTCGACCCTGTCTGCCTTCGTCAACGTGTTGCACCTCATAATGGCAGCAAGATGAAAAAGATGTTCGAAGATTGACGCAAGAAATCGGGTAGAGATGGACTGGTCACATCAGGATGTAAAGACGGTCATTTAAAGCATTTGCAGCGGTTGTACTCTATGTGTTTGACCAACAAAGCTAGCAGCGAGTTTTTCGCAGTACTCCCGTGCACTGGCTCTGTTCGTGATCTATTAAAAGGCAACAGAACACTTTCCACCTTACTCGCAATAGTACTTTGTGGTGGCTAGAGTAAAACTGGGTAGAAAACTGCAGCCCTCGGAACACACGAGATGCTAGCCCAAGGAGGGTTTCATTCATATATGTGTGCGGCACATTGAATATATATTCAATGTGCCGGTATTAGTCAATCACACACATCAGGGCATGCCAGCCCTTCACCAACTTTCCTCTCGTATTAAACGCCACAAAAATATAGTTTTACTACAATTTTAAACATGTACATGCAAGCAGCCCAATTTCCACACCATAAATCTGTCATTGCAAGTAACTCAGACCGGGATGGACTAGTTCGACACTCACACCCTCCAACCCCATTATCAAAAACATTCCAAGGACTTTTCCACCATAGAAATATACAACATTTTTTCATGTAAGCACCTACTACACAGTTTCTATGCACACTTAACTAAACACGGCTCAAATTATATACATATAGTATAGACTATAGCTTGCATATAGCAGTTAGAGGTGGCCATTCAAGGGTGCCATCCGGTCCGTTAAATCCGGTTCGTTAATTTTTATCAGCTGTCCGTTAAATTTCGTTAAAGAAAAAGGGAGAAAATTCAGAAAAAACGAAAAAAATCTAAAAAAATCGAAAAAAAACCCAAAAAATCACAACAACTGCGGCTAGTTGAAAATCTAGTATGCATAGGTTGGAATATAATACAAACACACTCTCTAATAGCGAATTCCATAAACTATAAGTATGACTAAAACCCAAAAATCCCCAAAAAATCCAAAAATCCGCTAATTTTTGGTTAATTTTTGTCTTTTTTCGTTATTTTCCGTTAATTAACGGAAAATTAACGGAAATTAACCTCTGTCCGCTATTAACGGATCCGGGTGGCCACCTCTAATAGCAGTTTGCATTCTGCATTCGGATAGACCCTTGGCAGGTACTGGCCCTTTGTCATGTGTAATTACACATAACCTTACTTACCTTCTACTCCTGGCTTGACAAAACTGACCTTCGGTCAATCCCCAGTAACCAGGGCGTTAGCCCCCCCGTCTGGCACGCACAGTTCACGCACACAGGGCAGCCTCGTAGGTCGCCAGTATCCACAAACCGAAGCACAAACTCACAAGTCAGTAGCAAAGAGGCAACAATGTCCCCATTGGCCGTTGCTCGTTACAAGGCTCTGCTCAACAAAGGGTATCATCCCAAACTCACAACAACCCCTTTATACCCGTGCTATGTCTCTCCACCCCTCTCCCTTTCTGGTCTGCCACACTATCCCCCTGGACGAATTACACCGTGAGCTTGGCATCTCTCACACCAATTACAACCTACTACCCCTAAACTGTTGCGGCCCGCGGGCGGCCGCTGGTTTCCGGAGTTGGGGGGCGGTCGCCGCACCCGATGGCGCGGCCTCGATGCCGCGCCTCTCCGCCGGATTGCAGCGGGCGTTGACGGGGTGCTCGTTTCTTCGGTAGCGCGGTGGGCCCTTGGGACGCTCGGGGACCTTTCCCGAAGCCTGCCGTGCGCAGGCGGTGGAGTCGCGGCGGCGAACGGCGGTTCGCTGCCTCGCGGCGGGGCAGAGAGGGGCCCGGATTTGCGATTACAGTCTGACACAACGCGGCGCGCATCCAATGTACCTGCGCGATGCCCGGTCGCGGGTCCATCGCGTCACATCAGACAAGACAACACAGTGTAATGTACGGACCATGTCCCAGCGCCCCCGGTCACCTATAATCAACCTAATCTAGCTCTAATTCCAACCATCTCCACCCAGCACCTGGCCTCTAAGTACTGCATCTTCACGAGGCCATATCTTCCTCAATATTCCTCAGAATTGAGTGCTGAAAGAAGCATTGGAACCAGGATGTCATAATAAAACCAGAGATAAGGATGACTCAGCGAGATTACGTAATATAGCTGCAGAAAATATCATTTACTGCCTGCCCCCAAGTAGCTCCACAACATAAACACCCTAAATACCCCGCTACATAGCACGGCTACCCGGGTCCCTCTCGTACAATCCCCGATGCTTCGACCTACCGGTCCGAATCCCATGCTAAAGTACTACAACTTCAACTGGCAATAACTTTGCCGTTTTCACACAGAATTGGACATTTCAAAAGCCTATCAGCATCGAAAGCTCCTAAATAAACCGATTTAGCCGATTTGGACTCTTTTAAACCACCCTAGATTCAGAAATGCTATTTTCAGCCATAAAACAGCCTTTCGTGCAAAATGTCGGTAAGGCCCAAAGGGCTGCACTTATGCACAACATTGCGATATGTGTTTTTTGGGGCAAAACGGTTGTGCTTAAGATTGGCCGTCAGAAAACAAGGAACTTTGTGCGCAACATTGTCATTTCTGAGTGCACAAAAAGAGAAGAGGATGCATGTTCTGTTGTTTTCCCTGTCCCTCTTACCGACATTTTGCACGAAAATTAGTTATAAGTCCAAGTTATGGGGTTTGCAGCTAAGTGATATCCATTTTGGGGAAATGGAGGGCATGCAATATAACTTTCAAGCACAACAAAATAATGGCATGGGACGGGAGCCACCATAGCCCTATAAACCATGTCCGGTTCAGGGATCAACATCGCCAATATAATCAGGATACACATAGATAACTCGCATAATCAATTCCCTAGTTCAGCCCTCTTCCAAAAGCTGAGGATGGAGGCTTGGGCTGGGCCATACGTTGACAACAACTTTATTTCAAGTTGGCTTAAAGTGGTCCAACAAAAGGTGGCAGCCTGGTGTCCTGACTTGGGAATTGACCGGCTAGTCATAACGGCGCACAATCTCTAAGTTGGAGGAGCATCGTGGGAAGAAGAACGAGGGGTTCCGCATAGCTGGCTCATGGCCCATGGCCATTGGCTTAGTGATGTGGTGGACATATACCATGTCCTAGCCTTGCCTAGCCAGATGGCGGTTACTTCCATCATGTGAACACCCCCGTGGGGCAAGCAAGCTGGACAGTCAGGCTAGGCAACCAAGTCCATGCAATATGGCTTGGGGTGTCAGATTTTCTAATGTTACAGACGGTGACTCAACTTCGTGTCTTTTCTTTTCACGTGTATGCATTAGGGACTCATCTGGGGTGGCTGCATCGGATCATCCAGTGGCCACGGGGTCGCAGGGGTCCGAATGCGGACAACTGGGTCCGGAGGACATGCACAGTGGTAGAGAAGTTTTTGTTTTTAGGAGCTAGAGAAAAGGGAGAACTTTTGGCAAGGGATTATAAGCTTATTCCAAAAAATTGCCAGGTTGTTACAACCTACTATGCAGTATAGTGCAACATATAACAATGGGCATTTGGTGAAGTTTGTCTATCTCTTAGACCGCGAGGTCTAGTCTCCAACCACCGCCCTACCACCCATGGTGGTGAAGTGGCAACGAGTGCCAACTAGGCGACAACACAACATGAAACCGAGTACAGGCCGGGAAAGTGCAACGTGGGCCATCGATCCTACCGGATCATATACTCGCTTTAAATATATGTATTGCTAATAGCATGCTTATTTCCCACGTTTGGGTCTAAGGCAAGCCAAGATAAAGGGGGCTCTTATTGTATGTGGCCGGGTCCAGCCCCCAAAGTCTTAAACCCATTGTTAAGGGGAAATATGATATTTCCCCTTAACACTATAGTTTGATCAATTACTTAACAACTTGTGGGAACTGATGGCTAGCATTTGCTTTCCCATGTGGACGAGCTAATTTGCTTAACAATTTGCCCCCATCAATTTAGTACTGCAAAATGACAATTTGCCATTTTTTGAATACTAATTTTGTTATAAAGCATAATAAAGCATAGTGCAACATAATGATATGATATCCAAAAGAGAAGATGTCAATATGTTTACAACACATTGCCCATTATTTTGCGAGTGCACTACTAGCAGCATGTAGTAGCCTACAATCATCAACAATCAAGGATTTAGATCTGACTTTGATGGGAAGAAACTTAAAAAATTGAGAATCTTCAGTGTGAGTTCCGATATGGGATAAAATGCAATGTGTTTTCTCAATTCAGTTTTTGATATTAATCACTAGCAGGCAAGCAATTTTTGCAGTAGTGATTTAATATACATGTTTTGGGCAGACGCTGGTGGATTCAACCAAAGCAAAGAGAGCTCAGTACCACACATGTCATGGTTGCCTGATACCACAATCACGGAGATGACGCATTGGACAATAATAGAATTGTTACTATAATGAGAACTTCTCATTATGCTACTCTTCATGCTGAAATTCTGCAATAATTGCCATTATCCACAAAAGAGTGCTACATTTTGCTTATTTGGAAAAAGGGTAGACGTTGATGCAATGGTGTGTTACAAAACCATTGATGCATAGG